ATACAGGGAGAGCTAGCCATTTGGATACAGAACTGGCCCAAAGGAAGAAGACAGATGGTGGTGCTAGAGGGCTGTTTTTCAGACTGGAGGCCTGTGACCAGTGGTGTGCCACAGGGTCAGTGCTGGTTCTACTGCTTTGTCGCTTATATCAATGATTTGGATGTGAACATAGGAGATATGGCTAGTAAATTGGCAGATGACACCAAAATTGGAGGTATAGTGCACAGCAAAGGAGGTTACCTCAGAGTACAACTGGATCTTGATCAGGTGGGCCAATGGGCCAAGGAGTGGCAGAGGGAGTTTAATTTAGATAAATGTGTGGTGCCGCATTTTGGAAAGGCAAAGCAGGGCAGGACTTATACACTTAATGATAAGGTCCTGGGGAGTGTTGCTGAACAAAATGAGACCTTGGAGTGCAGGTTCATAATTCCTTGAAAATGGAGTCGCAGGTAGACAGGATAGTGAAGGCAGTATTTGGTATGCTTGCCTTTATTGGATAGTGCATAGAGTATAGGAGTTGAGAGGTCATGTTGCAGCTGTACAGGACATTGGTTAGGCCACTTTTGGAATACTGTGCGCAATTCTGGCCACCCTGCTATAGGAAGAATGGGTTTAGAAAAGATTTACAAGGATGTTGCCAGGGTTGGAGGGTTTAAGCAATAGGGAGAGGCTGAATAGGCTGGGGCTCAATTCCTTGGAGCATCAAGGCTGAGGGGTAACTGTGTATAGGTTTATAAAATCATGAGTGGCATGGATAGGGTAAACAGACAAGGTCTTTTACCCAGGGTGGGGAAGTCTAAAGCTAGAGGGCATAGGTGTAAGGTTAGAGGAGAAAGATTTAAAAGGGACCTAAGGGGCAACATTTTCACGCAAAGTGCAGTGCGTATATGAAATGAGCTGCCAGAAGTAGTGGCGGAGGCTGGTACAATTACAACATTCAAAAGACATTCAGATGGGTATATGAATAGGAAGGGTTTAGAAGGATATAAGCCAAATGCTGGCAAATGGGGTTAGATATATCTAGGATACCTGGTCAGCATGGACGTGTTGGACCGAAGGGTCTGTTTCCATGCTGCACATCTCCTATGACTCTGTCTCACAAACTGCTGTCACCCATGATGTACCTCGAGTGCACAATTGTTGTGATGCAGAAAACACAGCAGCCAATTTGATCACAACAAGCCATCTCAAACAGATATGAAACAATGATCCAATAATCTGTTTATAGGATGTTGATTGAGGGGTAAATATTGGCTTGGGCACAGGAGACAATTCCCTCTTCGCAATAGTGCCATAGGATCTTTTACATCCACCTGAGAGACCAAGTGGGGTCACGGCTTAATGCTTCACCTAAAGGATAACAGGTTTTCTGACAGTGCAGCACTCCTTCAGTACTGCATTGGAATGTCAACTTCGATTTTCACTCAAGTCTCTGGAGCTTGAATCGAACCAAATCTAAACTATTCTAACCTTGATTGGGTGGTCAGAGTGTTGCAATCATTCCTTAATTCTCAGTGAACGTTGCTTACTGAACAGCCACAAATCTCCCTCATCTTGTAATGTCGGTCTTCTACATGTGACCAGTTGAAAAACAAGTGAACCACCATTGCCATATTTAGAGATTTTAAACAAGGCAAAGGTATGATAGTGTGCTGTGGCTGTTGTAAATGCACCAGCCTGTACTGACCTGTTTGATGCCACTATTAACCACTCCTGGCTCTAAAAAACAGAATTACACTTCAAATCACCAAGATGTTTCAACTACAGCGAACCAGTCAGTTCACCATAAACAACACTGAAAGTGTAGTTCTGTTGAGTAGTGTACTTCAGGGCTTTGATTTTAAGTTCCACTCCCGACTCTACCTGCTTTTATTCTATTCCGTGTGTGCGTGTGTGTGTGTGCGTGCGCGCACGCGCGCACGCTCAAATGAGCAACCCATTCATCAAATGTAAAGAGCTAGGAATAAGTTAAGACAAAGTTCCTGCCAAAGATGGGTGGGGTGCTAGCTGAAATTTAAACATTATTGAAATGTGACTTAAACTCAATGATAGGTCAGAGTGAGGGCTGAGTGATTGCTGACCTACATTGAATCCGAGCTTGGGCTTGTCCATGATTGAAGGTAAGTGCTGAAGGGTCAGCTCTATTTAAACACTCTTTGTAGGCCAGGGGTAGGAGCACAACCTCCCAGGCCGCACAAAGTCATTTTCAGAGGTCTGCACTGTTCTGAGCTCACACACTGATGCTGATCTGCCTCCTCTTCATTACAGCTAGATGGTCGGACCCACCTGTGGTTTCTTGGCTGACATTCCAGCTCAACCTACCTCTCCCACCCAACCCTGAACCTGGCTAATTGTTGAGAAGGAATCTGCACAATATTACTCAAAAGAGAGGCTTTTACTGACTACTGACCCCTCTCCCATCTTCAGGTACCTTCTCCCTTTAATATTGGGGCTCAGATCTCAACGTCCTTCCACAATATCAGAGATTAATGTACTTCTAGTCCACTATCATATGAATAGTAACTCCTGTCTACTGAGGAGGTACAACTGGTGCTATCCTGTTCCCATTGATAAAGAATGACAACAATGCTAAATTCCGAATTTCACTCGTTCCATAGAAATTTGACAATTCTGTGCAGCCACCCAATTAAAGTGGTTATCGTCTTGCAATGACCATGACTTGCCACAAGCCACAGCTGAGCAACAGACCCATGAGTTGATGGATATTTTCGAGCATTCTTTGAGATCATGGAAATATTTTGAGAGTCTGTACATTAGGGATTAAAGACATGATGCAGGGTGTATGACAGGATAGATAATACACAATGTGTGGAACAAGAGAGCATACATTAAGGGCCAGACGACCTTTTTTCATTCTATGCCTAATGTGATCAAGGAAGGGTTCTTTCACAATCAATACTGGCGAGATGTGTACATTTTCATGAGTTGTTAATTGAATGTAAGATTTGTTTGTGAAAATAAGACCACATGTTAAGATCAAATGACTAATCAATGGCTCAGCTCCCTCCCACCCAGAATAAGCAAGCAACTAATATAATGGAAACAGATAAACTAGTGTTGAGGTGGTAAGTGAATCCATTTAATGAGCAATTAATGAGGTTAGCAACATGGAGATCCCATTCCAAGAACCTCCCTAATCAGAATAAAATTGTAATCTATCAAACCAAAAGGGATGATGAGGGGTGACCTTACAGGTCCATAACATCATGAGAGGCCTGCCTAAAATAAATCAGGTTACACAGAGTTCACTTTGGCCATCTATCTACAACATGAATTTGTAGGTGGATCCCGTGGGATTCGACTCATTGGGATTTCACTGGAGTAGAAATAGAGGCAATGGGGAGATATAGAAATAGAACAGTACAGCACAGTACAGGCCCTTCGGCCCATGATGTTGTGCCGAAATTTTACCCTAAACCTAAGGTCTATCCAACCTCCACCCCTACCTTATACTATCATCCATATGCCTATCTAATAGCTGCTTAAATGTCCCTAATGAGGCCGACTCCACTACCCTCTCCGGCAATGCAATCCACGCCCCTACCACTCTGAGTAAAAGAACCTACCTCTGACGTCTCCCCTATATCTACCTCCACTCACTCTAAAACTATGCCCCCTCGTAATAGCTACCTCCACCCTTGGAAAAAGTCTCTGGCTGTCCACTCTATCTATACCTCTAATTATTTTGTACACCTCTATCAAGTCACCTCTCATCCTTCGTCATTCTAAAGAGAAAAGCCGTAGCTCTCTCAACCTTTCCTCGTAAGACATTGCCTCCATTCCAGGCAACATCCTGGTAAATCTACTCTGCATCTTTTCCAACGTTTCCACATCTTTCCTGTAAATGAGGCGACCAGAACTGGACACAATACTCCAGAGATAACAAGGTGTAGAGCTGGATGAACACAGCAGGAAAGCTGACATTCCGGGTCTAGACCCTTCTTCAGGAAACAATACTCCAGATGTGGCCGAACCAGGCTTTTGTATAGCTGGAGCACAACTTCACGGCTCTTGAACTCAATCTCTCTACTAATGAAAGCTAACACACCATATGCGTTCTTAACAACTCTATCCACCTGGGTGGCAGCTTTCAGGGAACTGTGGACATGAGCCCCAAGATCCCTCTGCTCCACCACACTGCCAAGAATCTTTCCGTTAACCCTATATTCTGTTTTCAAGTTTGTCCTTCCAAAATGAATCGCCTCACACTTTTCAGGGTTAAACTCCATCTGCCACTTCTCAGCCCAGCTCTGCATCCTATCAATGTCCCTTTGTAACCTAGAACAGCCCTCCACACTGTCCACAACGTGACCCACCTTCGTATCGTCCGTGAACTTACTAATCCACCCTTCCACTCTTACATCCAAATCATTTACAAAAATCACAAATAGAAGAGGACCCAGAACAGATCCTGGTGATACACCACTCGTAACTGAGTACCATGTTGAATATTTTCCGTCCACTTCCACCCTTTGTCTTCTAAGGGTCAGTCAATTCTGAATCCAATCTGCCACATTTCCCCCTATCCCATGCCTCCTTACTTTCTGCATGAGCCTACCATGGGGAACCTTATCAAACACCTTATTTAAATCCACGTATACCACATCCACTACTCTACCTTCATCCAGGTGTTTGGTCACCTCTTCATATCTTCAACATTGGCAATTACTATCTGAAGCAATGATACAACTGATAGTTTTATCTGTCACATGATGTCAGGTGGACAGGAAGAAGTTACTCTTTTGCACAGTTGAGACTTTTGCTGATAATAATTCAGAGTTAGTAGCAATACACAATAGGTTATCTTAAGAGAAAGGATTTCCATTTATGTGCTAGGTATTTTGGATAATGGACAGCTCTAGGAAATCCCAAATGCAATTTGTCTACGAGGGCAACAATGAGGCCTTGAATGACTTAGAAATTACCAACACTGTAGCATTTAAGAAGCTGAAAACAGAAATCTTAAGGCAGAAACATACATGATAGGCACTGCTTCCTCCGTAGCCATATTGGCTGGATCCCCACTGTGCTGGAGTAGCGTTTGGATTCTGACCCTGTCCAGTAACAGCTGCTATGGCATTGAACATTTGCGTTGTCATGTTCTGTGGGAGAGCATTAACTGCTCGTGTAAGATCTAATAGAGAAGGGAAATAATTGCTTTGTGTTAGTTTCTGTGGATATCAGTTATGTATTCATTTAAATTCCATTTCCTTAGCACACCTGAAACAAAGTAACAGTTCTATTATATCAACACTGAAAACACTCAAAATTTAAGACAGATTTAGTATGCAACATGGTCCTTAATACTGGATAAGCAGCTAAGATACTTTGCAACAGTATGAATAAAAGTACAACACAGAACTACATTTAAAAAAAAAGATTTACATGTCAAAACAAATCAAACACCATGATGAGTATTGTTCTCATTCTCCCTCCAAACCTAAACCTTACTTAGTTGGAGCAAAGTTCAGGGTCGTCAGATTATAAATCTTCGAAATATCCAATCCATTTCTAATTCATTCTGTCCACCAGGAAATGACTATTAGTTACTAAACAGATCTGGTGCAATGGCCTTGTGAGTCAAGAATACGGGAAGCGTAGGAGAAATAATATCCAACTTAAATTTTCATCACTGGGTTTTTCTAAAGCCACATTACAGAAAACAACAAAACACTAAATAAAGATTTATTTTTGTTTTGCTGCTTCCAGAATCTGAATAACTTCACTGAAATATTAACTAGCAAACACAAGGAGGTGAAAGATAGTGACAGCAACAATGTTAAGGGCACCAAAAGCCAGATCTGAAACTGTAAAAGTTGCACTAACATAAAAAAGATGATTTGCTTTGGGAGATAAAATTACTTATTTCCTTGCTATTCAGCTTTTTTTAAACAAATAAAACTGCAGGAGTACAGCAATGCATTTTACAATCAGGAACATAAGGAAATGACAGTTTGAACATAAGAGAAGAAAGTAATTTCACACATGTACCTGCCAAATTAATATTAGCTGGTGTTGCATCCATAGAGGCAGGTGTTCTGCTGGATCTGCTCGTACTTGAAGGAGTAATACCTGGAAACAGGTAATCATGTTTATTTCAGTATTTATAGCTCAGGACTAAAAATCTTGTTTACACAGTTGCCATAAAAATCATAAATGTCAGTGCGTACCTTGTGGTGAAAATATATTCCATCTAAAGTTTTAAAAATCTGAATCCATTCTACTTACAGGTCAAATACATCTGTATTTTTCTTACTCCTTAATTTCAGCCATTTGAAAATGCACAGAATCTATGCATGAGTTAAATTCAACGGTCTCTGTATTCTTACCTGGCACAGGATCTTGGAAGTGATCCTTAAACCATCTAAACAGTCCATTCACAGTTGGGAAAACTTGTCCTCTGTAGCGGTATCCTTCTGGTGTTACTGTAACATACTCCACCCTACAAAACAACATGACATTAAGTGTTATCATAAACACTGCACATGGACTTATTTTGTTAAACTGTTTAAAAATTGTCCTATAACCTTCCAAAGTGTTAAACCTATTACCACTGCAGGCTCCCTTCAGTAATATTTCTTCTCCACAAATGTACTGTATTCACACACAGTATTTCCATTCTTTACAGAAAGAAATGCTAACAAATTCCTCACATCCTAACACTGCAGAACAAAGATACCCATTTAGACATTTAAGTTGCAGCTTTAAATTCAGTCCAATTTCTGAAAACTGTTAAATTTACATCTTTGATCTGTACTGTAATATAACAACTTTGAAAGAAATGAATATTATGGATAAATCTCCAGTTCAAAAATGGACCACTAACATCACACCATAAATTAAAGCATACAAATTTGGGCGGCATGGTGCCTCAGTGGTTAGTACTTCTTCCTCACAGCACCAGGGACCTGGGTTTGATTCTAGCTGTGTGCAGTTTGCATGTTCTCGCTATGTCAGCATGGGCTTCTGCTGGGTGCTCTGGTTTCCTTCCACAGATGTGCAGTTTAGGTGGATTAGCCATGGTAAATAGGGGGTTACGGGGACAAGTTAGGGGATACCTGGGCATGATGCTCTTCAGAGGGTCGGTGTAGACTTGATTGACTGAATGGCCTCTTTCTGCACTATAGGGATTCTAAGATTCAAATCAGTTGAGACTGGCTCATTTTTATCACCTATCATAATCACAGTGCAGGTACACTGTTACTTTCACTTAATGACTGCATTTTGGATGTTTCCTTCAAAAAGGAAATGAAACAACATGAAATTAAGGTAAAATTCACATGCTTTCTCAGTTCCAGACTTCCAGGCATACTTTTAGCCACTCTGTATATTCACTGGCATGCTACTGTTGGCTTTCCCCATTTTCTGCAATGCAGATGAACATCACAATTATATCCATAATAAAATCTTTCATAAGCCCAGGAGAGGGGAGACCTTTCAGTACAAGAATCACATGTGCTAATTACGATGCTTATAATTGAAAATATAGAAGAATACTTTGGGGTTACCAACCTTGGTTTAGCTCGAGGTTGGTAGCCTAACAAAAATTTTCCAGGTAATTCCTTTGATGCTGAAATAAAATAGGGAATGAAAGAGGGCTTTTCTCTTTTGGATTTTGATAGCAGCTCTTCCATTTTCTAGAAAGGAAAACAATTAATGCCATATTTAATACAGTCTTGGTGATGACAAAACATGAAGGCACAACATAATGTGGAAAAAAAACTATTTCAAAAGGTAGTTCTTTAATGGCACAGATTAATTTTATATTTGCATAAATCATTCTATCCTATTGAATGAAGATTTCCACACCACATCAAAGACAATAAACATGATTCTTACCTATTTCAGATACCAAATATTGACAGCGTATTTTTTTTTATTTTCATGAATGACACCTGCGAGATAATTGTTAGCCGCTAGCACTTCTGATCAATTAAATAATTGCACTAGAACTTCAAATAACTGCTATATTAAGACAAGACCTTCTCTTGATGGCTAATCAAAACAGGAGTGTGCTGACTGTATTTGCTCCAATTATTTAAAACACTGGCAGCTTGACTCCCACAGGTTCCTTATTGGACTTCAACTGAAATTGCTGCTCAGTTCATTTGCTTAAAGAAATAATCCTCATTTCTAAACATTTAACATGGCTAACTTAACATTTTCCAAAGTCAGAGTCTTCAAAATCCAGGCAAATGAATAAATTGCATTTGAACAACAGTTGAATTCAAGATCTCTACTATTTAAATCACCAATTTTGCTAAAGCACCGTTAAAACAAAAATAATGCAATAAAACTGTTGCTTGATTTTATTCCATATTCATTGCTGGACAAAAAAAAACTTTGTCAAAGTGCAACCTAGGAATGCTCTACAGCAGTTACTATGCAGAATCCTGTGGTTATGTAGTGCTCCGAGATGCGGAGGGATCTGGGTGTCCTCATGCAGTAGGTTTATTACGCACTTACAGCAAGTAATTAGGAAAGCTAATAGAATGTTATTTATTGAGGGGAGGGGGACCGAGTGTAAAAGTAGGAGGCTATGTTTCAGTTAAACTGGACACTGGTGAGACTGCACTGAGAGTGCTGTGCACAGAACTGATTACTGTATTTAAGAAAGGATGTAAATGCATTGGAAACAGTTTAGAGAAGGTTTACTAGACTAACACCTAGAATGGGTGGGTTGTCTTAGGGACGAAATGTTGGTTGGATAGGTTTGTATCTGCTGGAGTTTAGAACAGTGAGACGCAACTTGATCAAAGTACATAAAATCCTGAAGGGTTTTGACAGGGGCAGGGGCAGGTGTGGAGACAATTTAGAACTCAGAAGCACTGTTTAAAAATTAGGGGACGCATATCAAAATAAAGATTAGGCAAGTTTTTTTCTCTCAGAGGATCATAAGTCTTTGGAACTCTCCTCTGGAAAGACAGTGGAAGCCAAGTCCTTGAATTTTTTTTAAAAAGAATTCTATGGAACGTCAAATGCACCAATCAAGTAGAACATGAGTGCAGATACTCGTCATATTATTAACTCAACACAGTACTTGTCCATTTGTATAGGAACATGAATGGGGGCACAATGTTACAAGTGACACTCATATGGTGGAGAGGGTGTGCCAGCTCAAAGCTTTTTCAAAATTAAAAACTGAGAAATAACAAAAATGACCATCTATAGTTGAGGGCAACTAGTAATAAGTTGTACCATTGGGGATGAATTAGGACACAATGTTTCAGTCAGGGACTAATAAATGGTTTATTAAACACAAGTTCCTTGATTTTATTACACTGCTTAAAAGCCTCATCAACTCACCCTGACATTTTCAAAAATATTTATGCATAAAGCCCAAGATCTCCCTTTTCCTGAATTCTCTTAGAATTGTATCATTTAGCTTAAGGGTGCACTTGTTTATTGTTCCATCCAAACTGCATCAAATGCATTCCTGTTGGTCTTTATCTCAAAGGGATTGAAACATAAAAGGGAAGCAACTTGTATACAGCAATGCAGATGATCTGCTCATTCAGTTTGGGACATGGCACTTCAGAAAGGAATAAAGTCCTTGGAGGGCTACAGCACTTCACCAGAATATCAAAGCAAAAGGTAAAATTATGATGACAGACTACTTGAACCTGCCAGGTATTCCCTGAAGTTTTGAAGATTGATAGGTGATAAAATTGAGGTGTTCAAACAATTAGAAAGGTTTCAATAGAGGTGCTACAGAGAAACTATTTTCACTGGTTGGAAATCCAGATCAAGGAGGCATAACCCTAAAATTAGAATCATGCCATTCAGAACTAACAGTTATGAAATTGTGGAACTTTTTTGAACAAAAGATTGTGGATACTGGTTAAATCAAAGTTTTAAAGGCTGAGCTTCACAATTTATTTTAGGCAGGTATCAGGGAAAGGGACCAAATAAAGGTAAATGGAGTGGTGGTAGATCAGTCACCTTCCAACTGAATGAAAGAATAGACTTGAGGAGCCGATTGGTCTATTCTTGTCCCTTGAAGCAATCATTTTTGCAAGGATCCTGTTCAATTTTATTTAGCAACTGCAAGAATCATGTCCTCTTCTCATCTAATATACTAAGTCAGTTACAGATAAATTAATGGTGCTTGCAAGATGGGGGTACAGCATACCCTTTCTCTTTCCTTTTATATAATATTTTTCCCATTTTACATCATTTGATCTCAGGGTACAATGCTAGTTAGGATTTTAGGTTAAATGAATAGTTTCTCTAGATAAGCAGCATGAATTGTTCCTATAAATGATCTGCGTGCCTTAGCTTTATAAAAAAGTGACTGTTTCAAGTGTCCTGGATTCGCTTCTACGATATAATAGCATATAACAGCAGTGTCCCTTTGCACCCTGCAATGGATATGTGTGTCTTTTGTACAGATCTCTTCGCTTTTTTGTGATGTCAGATGAAGTTAATACTACATTTGTATGATTTCACTGAATTTGTAAACGGAATTACTCAAATTGAGGTAATACATACCTAGTAACAGGTATGTTGAGAATAACTTGGTTCAAATTAGTACAACTTATATTCATGCTATAAAATAAAATAAAGGAAAGGCAATACTATCACATTCTGGTGGAATAGTTCCCCAGACAAAATAACTTTTACCTTTTGTCATAATGCCTACAGAAAAATGTCTGTCCTTTCAGTCTCCTGTTCATTTGCTTCCCATTTAGTCAAACCTGCCTATCCTCAGCTCCCAGAGCAAAATCTACCAGCTTAATTTGATAATAACCCTGGGCAAGTTCAAGGAAAGAGTGAGTGGGAATGGTTCCTAGCATGATAAAAGATCTTTCAATGCCTATTTTGTGCTGTTTTAACAGACCTGAAACATTTGGCATACAGGGTCTAACCATTTTAGAGCAATCTTAAGTTAAAATCACATTTTAAATTAATTCACGTTAAGTTATTCCCAGGGGAACTGGTTAAAAATACATGCATCACCAGGAACATTATAGTTCCGAGAAGCAATCCGTGGGAGTAGACTACTGTCCATGTTGAGTATATTTTCATGGATTTAACCCAACAGCTACACCCCTCCCCACACATCCAACAGCAGAAACAATTATTTTTACTGCAACACGCTTGATTGGTATTAGAATTATTCATTTACTGCTTATCGAGTTTTAATAAAATTGGTTGAGTAAAGATTAAAGTTAATGTACAGCTGAAAAAAAAATTAAAAGTCTTGCCCATTTCCATGTTAATAAACTCATTAGAATTGTTCCCTGCGTTGATCAAGCTAGGTTCACTTGTTGTGTAAATACCTTACGGTCTCCACCACTGCAATCCTGGTAATATTTGTGATACAGCAGGTCACGAGCAAAAGATGCCATTGGTTGCACATAGCGAGCAGTGATTTCATCAAGATCTTCAAACTCCTGGATAATGAAATTGCAGATTAAAAACTGTAAGAGCCTTATAATATACAATGCATTTTTAAGAGGATTTATAAATACATATATATTGCTAGAAATGATAAGCATTTACAGGACTATTCAAAAGAAAGACCTCAATTTGCTTCCAAAAGATGTTTATGTACTGCATAGCTTTTGCATCTAAAATGTAAAACATATCTACAAAAAAATCTGTAGGAAGTGGATAAAATGATCCATCATTTCACACTACAGAGCTACTCTAAATGTGAAGTTGACAGTCACCAGTACCAAATACGTATTTGAAATAGTAAATAAAGACAAGACAGTGCAGAGAAAAATAAAATAGAAAAAGCTAAGAAGTCTCTTTGAGAACACTGCAATGCTTACTTGCAGTCAGCAGAATTTCCAGAAATTTCATAGATACACAGATTTAACAAAAATTTAAAATCTATTATTTACAATGACGTATTTAGGTGTTTTCTTCTCTTACCTCATTGTTGATCAAAAGAGACTGTCCCAAGCTAAAGGCATTCTCTTTGCCTTCTTCTCTTACATCTATATGTTGATAGATCCCATCAGTCACTTTCCAGGTTACAGTGAGGTGGTTTGCTCCTTTGCTGCTAGGTCTGATGATAACATCTCCTTGGTCCATGGTTTCCATCATTTTCTCAGCCTGCTTGAAGTTGATATTGTGGAATGAAGGGTGCACTATTACTCGCTTGATATATGCTATTGGAAAGTAAAGAGTGAACAAGTGTTAATACAATCATTCATTCTTGTTTTTTTAATAAAAGCAAATATTTCTGTTTTTGCATACGACCATCAACTTAGATCTGCAATTTCACAGGTTTGAACAATTTGAAAGCTTTCTGAAGTTGAATGCTTCAATAAACAATGGAGGTGAAAAATAACTTCCAAGTCAAAGAATTTTTCCTGACGTTTTTATACATTTAGATGACAATGACTTGGCTGCAGATTTAAGGCTTAATTTAAATGAACGATCAATTTAAAACCGATCTATATAACAGGTCAATATAATGAAAACCTCAACATCGAAATAATCAAATTTTGAACTGCTGAATGACTTACTCGTGCGCTGCTGTTTCTTCTTTGCATCATCATCTACCTTTTGGTCTGCTGCCTCAGAATCAAAGTCATAATACGTGTCTTTGGGCAATTTCCATTCATTGTTCTTGTCCATTAGATCAGACGTTCGACAGGTAAGGTCCACACTAAATTTTTCAATATCTATCTTCATTATTCTGCAATGCACAGTCATACCAATCTACAAGGAAGTAGATGTAAACAATTACACATCCAGTCAGATATCACCCAACCTGAGAAGTAATTCAAGAGAAAACAATCTCTACCTTGACCCGTTCTTCAGGGTGTTTCACATTTTTGTCACTGAGGAATTTTGTTGGAATGAAACCTGTAACATTGTTGTCTAGCCTTGTTTTCACACCTATAGCTTGACCAGGACAAGCACCACTGTCAAAATGATTCCAAACCTGTAGGGAATAAAATCGATCTTTTAAGAACAGTTTAAATTAATTCACGTTTGAGTGTTTCTGCTGAAAGAATGTTAACAACAGTGATGAGAAAGAAAGTAATATTTGTCCTCTACACTGCCTTTTGCAATGATGGGCATTCTTTCAAAACATCAGATGTGTATTAAAAAAAATCCTTTTTTATATTTACATCAATGGCTGGTCTTCAAATAAAGTGCAAGGCAGGCAGGCAAGCAAAATGTGAATCTCCAACAGGTGAGTTCAAGTGGGAGGTTAAAACAGTTGAGAATTTGATTCCTGACCCAAGATCCTGACTGGACTGAATGGAATCATTTTATTGTGCTCAAGTACCTGGAACGAGTCTTTAGCCCACACCAGTATCATTTTCAACCCCTCAGATATTGAAGCACTTGATATCCATATGCAGCAAGACTTGGACAAATTGACTTGATAAGCACACAGATAATAGTTGAGCTACACAAGTGCTAGGCAATGACCATCTCCAACAAGAGAGAATCTAACCATACCCCTTTGATATTACCATCACTGAATTCCTCATTGGTCAACATCCTGGATTAACACTGACCAGAAATTGGACTGGATAAGCCATATAAAACTTGTGGCTACAAGAGCAGATCAGAGGCTGGGAATTTTGGATTGAGTAACATGCCTTCTTACTCACCAAAGTCTATCCACCTTCTACGAGGCACAAGTCAGAAGTGTGATGAAATAGTCTCCTCTTCCTGCATTAGAGTGGCTCAATGACAATGACACTCAGGACACTCACCACCATCCACGACAAAGGTGCTCTGTCAATTAACACCCTATTCACCAACTTAAACATTCACTCCTTCCACCAATGGCACACAGCTATAGTCAAGTGTACCATGCATAGGATGCACTGCAGCAATTTGCCAAGGCTGCTTCAACAGCACATTCCAAACTCAGGACATGTTAACACCTAGAAGGACCATCATTTGCCAGGTCCCTTCTAAGCTAAAAGCCATCCTGACCATTACTTCTATTTCTTCATTATCACTGGATCATAATTTTCGAATTTCCTTCCTAACAGCACTGTGGATGTACCAGGACCAGACGGATTCATGGTTCAAGAAGGTGGCTCACAACCAGCTTCTCAAGGTCAATTAAGGACTGGTAACAAATGCTGGCTTGGTCAGCAATACCTATATCCCACAAATTGAAAAAAAATTCAAAAGGTGAGCGTCATGCCTCACACAATGCTTTAAGAAAAGTACTGTTAAAAAAAAATCTAAAAAATTTCATACTTAATTCAACATATAAATGCTAAAAAAATGTCGAATTACGAGATTTAAAAAAAAAATTATTGATCCAAATTTTAAAATGGCGCAATACCTCACTAAGTTCTGGAAAGTTGTCTTGTTGGCAGAAAGGACACTGCCAGAGTCCAGTTTCATCATTCCTTATAGCTTGATCATAACTTTCACCCTGAGGCCTCCTGTGAGCAATCCCTGTCACAACGCATGTAATCAACTTACCTAAACAGAAGGAAGTATGTTAGGGTAATAGTAATTTCAGCAAACTTGAAAGTAAAAAAGGTTTAAAAATTCTTTTCTAATTATTTAGGGACCAGTGAAAGAAAATGCTTACCAATATAAAATGTTTCTGGAGTTTCTTTTGTCAACATATTGAAAATTTCTTCTGAGTTTGCTGCACGACATGGAACTCGTAAATCCTTGTACCTGCAGCTCAGCTCAGCTCGAATATCATACAGTGTGATACCTTTGTTACCGTAGCCCTGTTAAATGATAAATTTAAGTGCAAGATAGACACTAAATGTATTTGTTTTGTTACTTAATTAGTAGCTGCAGGAAGCAAAGCTTACAAACATTTCACAGAGAACAAAATTTCTGCTGAACTTTAAACATTTGGGGAAATCACCAACTATGTTCTTGAGCTAATGCATACATAGAATTATCCACAGAACACTTTTTAAATGCATTATTTTTATATTTCTACCATATACAGAGGCATAGATATTAAAATTCAAATCTCAAATGTTAAATAGCATTTAAATAAACAAACAGTAGATTGCTATTAAAAAATCTCAAAGTAATTGATTTTTTGGGGAGATAAAGGGAGCTAACTTTTTAAAAGTAGTAAAACATAAATAACGCACAAATAGCTAGTAAATATTGAAACATAGCATGCTTCTCAGTACACTGGTCACAGAACAGTGAAACTGCAAAGTTGAAAACGCTCTGTTTTGCATTATATCTGTCAAATAATTCTGAATTAAATATTCAATGAAAACTCATTTATGAAAATACCAACCTGCCTCTCCAGTTCTTCTGCAAATGCGTCAAGGTCAAGATCCTTTAGTCGCTCAGGATTTTCCAAAATTTCTTCCAGCGCTCCTGCTGGGTTGGCATCCTCTGCTGACTCATCATATTCAAGTGCATCCACAGCCATCTTTCTGGCCCATTCGTAAGTTTCAGGGTGAACTCTTGAGCCATCGAGGACCTCAATGTAGGAATCAGTACTGCAGATTTTACACAAGGCAAATACAGGTAAACACTGCTATACAAATAAGACAAATGCCTACTACATAAGTCGGTAATAAAGCATATGAACTTCAGATCGGGTATGATGTCAGGCATGTAGACTGAATGTCCCAATGACCAGCAGGTAATATCCAACAGTATGCTCCTGCAATTTCAAAACAGGCAGAGTACTGACTATACTTAACCAGCCTATGTTTGCACAAAACAAAATATGATGTCTGAAATTAGATGTGATTCCACAATAAGTCAGAACTTGCTAAATAATCCCAGTGTGTTAATAATTAAACGAACCAATTTATGTTCAGTCAGGCTCGCTGTGTATCTTTCATACGGTTGCTAGAAGCTCCATATATTCAAATGCAAGGATCTATCTTCTGCCAGGAAATGGAATATGCCCACACATTAAACAAAAACATAGGGGCCAACAGCTCTCTGGTGCAATCTCAGTGCCACAATTTCAACCAGAGTATGTATATTTCCATCCTTTTCTCATATAGGATAAATTCTTGCTCCTTTGAAATTTGGCATTTTTGCATTTGGCCTGATGTGTGCAAGATGAAAAGCCCTGATCACGTTTCTTTTTTCAGCAAAGCAAACTATCATGCCAGAATTCAAATTTCCAATGGATAAATCTCAAGGGAAAAGTTTTCTCAAGCATTAGAAACTTGACATTTTAAGTATTATATATCCTAATTGTTAATCCAAATGAATCATGAATTAGTACACTTTACAAAGCAGCACCTGTATCGAGAAAAGTTTTTTTGAGTTCATCCTGACAAACACTATGGCAATGGTAGCCTTGCAAGAGCAGTTAGTTAGCTGGAGATCTTTGATTAATACACACTGTAGTTGGCAAATGACACAGATAAACCACACAGCACATACACAGCACAAAAATTCAGAACGAAAGAATCTTCATGTAGGAGTACAAACCTGTCCCCTAATGAGGCAGTATCTATTTTAATAAATCCTGCGCAATTGATGAAGACTTTTGGGCCCATATGGCACATCGTAACTAGCTGGGTCCTGTTTTCCAGGCGAGTGTTATTCTGTTTGAGGATCTATGTAAGAAAAAGATGTTAATACAGGTCCATACAGAAATCAAAAGCATAATTCTGCTGCTTACAAAATTGTAGTTCCACTATTCAAAAATCAATATGATCATACACTTTATACATATTTACAGGTGAACTGATCTTTGGTAAACAGAGCATGCAAAATGCTACCATTGTATATATTGTTAAGTGTCTCATGTCATTAGTGAAGTTTTCTTTTTTAAAAATAAAGTTTTCACTGAATATGGGCTACTTTAAATATTTTTCACTTATCTCCCTTCAAGCCACTTCATTTTCCTCTCCATCCAGCTCACTTTGTACTCAAGATAAACAGTTTAGCTACCTGGCCTGACAATATGGAACTAGCTACTTTTTTTTGCTGGCAGCAAGTACTATTGTGATCACGTATTTGGTAATTGTAACATAGGCTTTAATCAGCAGTCTCCAGTTTACCTCCTTACCTTCTGTAGGTGTGATCCTTTACGAGGTCCCAGACCACAGACATACTGAACCAATGCCTGAGTATGTGGATGAGTTATTGCTCTGTTTACATCAACACCAACTTCGTTCACTCGATTTATGAACTCACAGTAAAGTGCATTCAATAATTCTTCTTTTATTACTTGTTCCTGAGGTAGACAAAAATTAAAATGCAAGAAAACACGTTAAAGACTTTTCAATTAAGTCACGTTAGAGTAAACTAAGGGTGGCATCCACAAAAATATTTCTTTGACCATGATTAAACATCAGAATTCAGCTTTATAAAATCTACAGCATTTAATTTACTCCTCCCCAGTCTTCTACTCGCATAAGGAGGCAGAACACAGTGTACAACAGATATCCTCCAACATGACCCCAGTTTAGATCATGTTAGATAGTATGAATACTCAAAATCACCACACATTTTACATTATTGCACAAAATCAAGACCTATCTCCCTAATCAATCTCACACAGGATAAAAGGCAGTAAGGTAGATTACCTGCAATGGATGGAATTTGAGGCAGACAATGTCCTCATCTGAGCTGCAAACTTGAGCAAATTCCACAAGTGGATCCTGCACCCGACGAGCCAATGACACCGCCTGACGTAGCAATGGTGGATAATCCCTAAAGTCATTCTGGTCAACAGAAAAACCAAGTTGAAGAAAGTTTTTATTCTTGCTAAAATTACTAATCTGTCAACCTTCAATCTTATTAAATCACGTTTAAGAGTCCTCTCTCAGCCCTCTGACAATGTATTTCCTCAGGAGGTTGCCGAGACCCCCCACAGGAGCAAGGCCTAACAAATACTGTTCAAATTCCTTTCTCTCAAAGGGACATCTGGTCTTTTCTTTACACAAATACCAGTGCTATGGAAATCAGGGGCTCAATAAAAAAAGAGGAGTAACACAAGGCCAACAAATTGTGCTCCAATAAAGTGCCACAAATTGAAGTCATGGTTAATGCAATTTTATTATGAACTATAATATGTTGATGATAAGGATACTTGTATACTAAGTATGAAATGTAATATGTACAATATGCTTTCAATACTTGTGTAAAATATACAGTTGTAAATTTAGCATAATTTTCTTGAAATACAGTATGCTGCATTTGTTGATAGTTCACAAACTTTAACAGTGAAAATGCACAGCAGTCTTATCAAAAGGACATGACACTGTAGTGTGCAGCACACATGACAGAAATTTAAAACATCTAACATTATTCCAAATATTGTAACATTTCAACTTAAGTTACGCAACTTGCGATTTGTTTTTATTTCAACCAGGAACCCTTCAAATTCTGTAACTGCAGTCGGTTCTGGTATAACATGATAGTTCTGTTCTCGTGTGATCTCACATTACAAGAAAATTGCACAATAGCCATACCATTTCAACTAATGGGGCTGGAATAGCCAATACAGGTAAGGAAAGTTTGCGTTCTACAAGCTGCGTTCTTCCATCGTATTAGAGCCAATTCGCGTTGAAGAAACATGCCTTATAGCAGAACCGACAGTATCAATGATAGTGAGTATGGCTGACAACTGATTAGCCTATCAGAAGCACTCTGATTTAGAAGACTCAAAGTTAAAATTTTCTCCTCTACTAAACATGCAGAGCTGAAGACTGAACAATTTTGCTAACTGAACCTACCCTAGGTCTTGTGATAGTCTAAGGCCTACTGGAAAGTAAACAATAGACCAAGGGTGTCAGCTACTTGTCACCCTAGTGACAAATCATGTTGCTTTTTTTGGTGTCTGAAATATTAACTATGGTGAGATACAGAACATAAGGCACTCTTTGATGATGCTTGGCAATAAAGGGAGGAAAGGCTTAAAGAGAAGGAATCGATGACTTCCTATGATTGTTTGAGAGACTCCAAGAGGGTTGGCTAGCAGCACCAATTGAATGATTAAAAAAAGCTGGTAAATAAAAAGCTTGCATTCCAACAATCATACTGTGTCCCCGTAGCCCAACAGATTTAGTGTAACTGTGATTCATATATTTACATAATTCTTACCTCTGACTTTTTACTATTCATGTACAGAAGAGCTAGTTCGTTGTCCACCAGCTGCACTCCAATAGGGGACATCTGATGCTCCTGTTCTAATTCGTGCACTATTCGTTTTATGTCCTCTACAACCATAAGTGCATCCCTACCAAGGAAAGTACCTATATATTAAACATCTAACACATGCTACACATATCCTGCTCAAAACATTACCTCTTGCAATTTATTATAAATAATACACTTGTTCATTTATTTCAAAAAATGGCCATTGGAACTGTCACCAAACTGTAGCCAATATTCCTTTGGTTACGTAACTATTGGTGGCCAGAAAGAACTATTCACAGTTCTGTCTCTTACCAAGGAAGCAAGTGATTTTCCCAATCAACATAAGAAACAGCAGCACATGCTCAGCATTTTTGAGTTAATATTCACTGTTGCACCCACTGCTTCAAATTAAGAACTAATATTTTCAGTGATGTACAGTAGATACAAGAAACAAAATACTGGAACTAAGTTTTCTCTTGGTAAACATTCTTGCAGTTACTATACAAATGTTTTATAGTTCAATAAAAGGTGTCAATTAGAATCACTTAACTAAAATAGTTATTACAAGATTAATTTTATAAAGACTAAGTCTATTATAACTTTATCAAGGTGCTGATTAAGAAATTTAAATTCATCAATAACTAAACAAGATTTTCAAGCAATTGAAAAATTACATTATCCTATAGACCTATAGATCACTAATTGACGCACTATTTTTTTGCTGTGACTGAATTCCACTGAATAACAGGATGACAAATGCATCCTAGTCCGAAATTACTGATGTTTATTCATTTCTTAAGAACATAAGAACTAGGAGCAGGAGTAGGCCATCTGGCCCCTTGAGCCTGCCCCGCCATTTAATAAGATCATGGCTGATCTTTTTGAGACTCAGCTCCACTTATCCGCCCACTCACCATAACCCTTAATTCCTTTACTGTTCAAAAATTTATCTAGCCTTGCCTTAAAAACATTCAGCGACGTAGCTTCAACCGCTTCACTGGGCAGGGAATTTCACAGATTCACAACCCTTTGGGTGAAGAAGTTCCTCCTGACCTCAGTCCTACATCTGCTTCCCTTTATTTTGAGGAGATGTCCTCTAGTCCTAGTTTCACCTGCTAGCGAAAACAACCTCCCTGCTTCCACCTTATCTATTCCCTTCATAATCTTATATGTTTCTATAAGATCTCCTCTCATTCTTCTGAATTCCAATGAGTATAATCCCAGTCTACTCAGTCTCTCCTCATAATCCAACCCTCTCAACTCTGGAATCAACTGAGTGAATCTCCTCTGCACCCCCTCCAGTGCTAGTGTATCTCTTCTCAAGTAAGGAGACCAAAACTGCACACAGTACTCCAGGTGTGGCCTCACCAGGACCCTATACAGCTGCAGCATAGCCTCCCTGTTTTTAAACTCCATCCCTCTAGCAATGACAGACAAAATTCCATTTGCCTTTTTAATTACCTGCTGCACCTGTAATCCTACTTTTAGCGATTCATGCACAAGGACACCCAAGTCCCTCTGCACAGCAGTGCGCTGCAATTTTTTACCATTTAAAACATAGTCCATTTTCCTGTTATTTCTACCAAAATGGATGACCTCACACTTATCAACATAGTACTCCATCTGCCAGACCTTTGCCCACTCACTTAGACTATCTATATACCTCTGCAGACTTTGTGTCTTCTGCACACTTTGCTCTACCACTCACCTTAGTGTCATCTGCAAATTTTGACACACCACACTTAGTCCCCAACTCCAAATCATCTATGCAAGTTGTAAACAATTGCGGTCCCAACACTAGCCACTGACCGCCAACAAGAAAAGCACCCATTTACCCCTACTCTTTGCTTTCCACTGGTCAACCAATCCTCTATCCATGCCAATACATTACCTGTAATACTGTGGAACTTTATCTTATGTAGCAGCCTTTGGTGTGACAACTTGTCAAATGCCTTCTGGAAATCCAGATACACCACATCCACAGGTTCCCCACTGTCCACCATGCAAGTAATGTCCTCAAAGAGCTCCACCAAATTAGTTAAACATGACCTACCCTTCATGAACCCATGCTGGGTGTTTCCAATGGGACAATTTATATCCAGATGTCTTGCTATTTCTTGCTTAATGACAGATTCAAGCATTTTCCCCACTACCGAAGTTAAGCTAACTGGCCTATAGTTACCCGCTTTTTGTCTACTTCCTTTTTTAAACAGTGGCGTCACATTGGCTGTTTTCCAATCTGTGGGAACCACCCCACAGTCCAGTGAATTTTGGTAAATAATTACTAGTGCATTTGCTATTTCCCCTATCACCTCTTTTAGTACCCTGGGATGCATTTCATCAGGGCCAGGAGAATTGTTTACCTTTAGCCCTATTAGCTTGCCCAGCACTGCCTCCTTAGTGATAATAATAGTTTTAGGTCCTCGCCTGCTATGACCTTCTTGCCATTAGTTTTCGGCATGTTATTTGTGTCTTCCACTGTGAAGACCGATATGAAATAACTGTTTAATGTCTTGGCTATTTCCTCATTCCCAGTTATTAAATTGGCCTTCTCATCCTCTAAAGGACCAATGTTTACCTTCGCCACTCTTACGATTTACATATTTATAGAAATTTTTGCTGCCTGTTTTTATATTCTGAGCTAGTTTACTCTCCTAATCTATCTTACTTTTCTTTATAACTTTTTTTGTGGCTTTCTGTTGGCCTTTAAAGATTTCCCAGTCTACTAGTTTCCCACTACTCTTTGCTTTTTTGTATGTGTTTTTTTTGTTTCCTTTACCATCTTGCTAAATGCCATGTTATGTGTCAGTGAAACTATGCCTTTGACTGCAAGCAGGAGCCAGCTTTAAAAATCAATAAAAAAGAAACGGTTTAAAGTAGATTTGATCGTATTTTAAACATAACCATCTTGATGGTACACCAGCAACCTGATAATTACAAACAAGTGCATTGGCTCCTTACCTATTTTCTCCACCCACAGCCACAACATGGGGCTTCTTATTTAGAAGAAACTTTTTCAAAGTTTCAATATCATGTGCCTGTAGACAGCAAGATATAGAATTGAGTTGCTGCAATTTAATTTACTTTCCTTTATGTCTACTACCTTATACTTGCATTTATGCTATCAGTTTGACAAGAACAAAAACAAAATGTTAAAAGTTGAACTGCTATACTGGTGAATGCCAAATTCTAAAAGCAAAAGGCAAAATGTAAAGTAAAAACAAAAAATGCTAGAAAGGCAAAGGTCAATCTGTAAAAGGAGAAGTGTATGATAATATTTCAAATGTGTACCCTTTTTCAATGAGGGGAGAAAAGTATTTTTCTGCTCAAGTTCTGATAAGTAGTACATGGTCAAAACTATAACCAGTTTTTTCCGTTTACTAAATCTGTGTACTTTCAACATTATTCATTCTTATTTTGTATTTATGGAAAATTATTTTTATTCGCAATATAAAATTACAAAATGCTTGACACAGTGTGCATAGTCAATAAACAGAGCAATAATGGTAGATAATAATTAGGGCAAAGAAATTAGATCCACCACCTTTATTCCCCCAGTACTAAAGTATTGCGGCAGCACTATGTACATTTATAAGATGCACTGCAACAACTTGCTAAACATCCACCCACAGCACTTTTCAAGCCCTTGAACTCTACCACCAAGGAGGACAAGGACAGCAGATGCATGGAACATCACCATCCTGAATTGGAATGGTCTGCATGTTGCTGCTCATTTTTTGTTATTGGTCCAAAATCGTGAAATCCTTTCGTAACGGTGCTGTGGATGCACAGATAGACTGCAGTAGTTCAAGACATTGGCTGACTACCACCTTCTCATAGGCAACTGGAATAGAAATAAATAAATACTGGCCATGCTAGGGATGGCCACATCTCACAAAATAACTTTAAAAAAATTGAAGCGAGAACGCTGTTTTCTGAATCCTTGCCTGTGATGCCAACATCCGATGAATGAAAAAAAAAATACATGTAACCAATAAAATTCATAGTCTGTTCTTGTTGTTTTACAGGAAAGGTACACAAGCATATCATTGAGCAAGATCAAAATTGGTTTATGTTTAATTAATTATAACCTCCTAAACACCACTGTTGTTAAGCAGCAACATCATAAAGCTGAAGACCATCAGTTCAGCTAGCTCATCTATGTATTACACTCTCGCAATTCATTTCAAGTAGACCCAAATTCAGTGCGTCCATGGCTTCAGTGACCAAATCATTAACACACTCAAGATCACTATGCCACTTTTTAGCACGTATTTCATGTCAACCTTGCCTAAGCCCAATCACAGTACCTTTGATTCAAAGTATGAAGTTGAATCTGCCAGTTTTTGGTCCACTGATCAAACCTGCCAAAATCTCTGTAAGCTTATATGCATTGTCATTCATCACTTGCTAATAGAGTCATAGTGTTGTACAGCATGGAAACAGACCCTTCGGTCCAACTCATCCATGCTGACCAGATATCCTGAATTAATCGAGTCCCATTTGCCAGCATTTGGCCCATATGCCTCTAAACCGTTCCTATTCATGTACTCATCCAGATACTTTTTAAATGTTGTAATTTTGTCAGTATTCCACAGTCTTCGAAAGAGACAACCTACAAGTAAAAGCTCAGCCCTTCTGCAAACTGGAACTTGATCTTGCACAAGAATGAGGCTTGGAAGGCCACAGACAAGACATCAAACTGCGCTTATGTTCCCAACTTGGTATCATCAATAAATTTGGATATAATTCCTTTCTCTAAATCATGTATAAAAATTATAATCAATACTGCTCCAACAATAGCATTCTACTTTTCCCGTTTGTATCAACATGCAAGAACAGAGAAGGAAATATTCCAAAAGTGAACTTCTTACCTTTTTCTCTCTTTCTTCCTCTCGCCATGCATTCCTTCGCTTCAAAAAATAAGGCAGACGAAGGAAATCTGTCACTTCACCCTCTCCATTAACAAGAGAACAGAAGGCTGGTGTATCCCTAGCAAAAAAGGGAACAGTATATAAAATTTAATAAGCAATAGTTTTGAAGCAGCTTCCATTGCTCCATCATGCCTGTAGCCTGTCAAACTGATGATTCATTACAGTACCAAGAAACAGGAATTTCAGGTTATAAATGGTTTTAACTATATTCTCATATAGAAACAGTGTATTCCAAACTCATGAGTAGATTAAACTCATTAAAACTGTATTTTTGAATATAAATCAGTTTGGGTACGTTATGACACACCTTTGGGGCAGGTAGGACTTGAACCCAGAACTTCTAACCTACGACCACTCCATCACAATGACACTGGATTTTTTAAAAAATATTTTAAAAATTTAATCTATTTGGGCATCCAATGGCACACCTCAAGGACAAGTGAGACTTGAACCTCAAGCTCTAGCCTGAGCTAGGAACACTTCTGTTACTTGGTAAGAACCATTACCAAGTATAAATATTCGAATTATTTAACTTAATAGATTATAGAGGAAACTTCTGAAATCCACTGAAAATCAAGCTATTCACGTGGGGTGATGGGCAGGGGAGATGCAGAAATGGGCTGATCATAATGTGAATGATGCTTGCTGATGAAGGAAAGGAATTCAGGAGTGGTTGAGACCAGAGTGAGTCTGGAACACCTGACATTTAATCTTCAGCATGTGGCCTTCATGAGCAGTAAGCACAAGGCTGCTTTGATTACACTGACTGATGAATAAAGTAATACGGTCGCTCTGCATGCATGCATGTGTCAGTGATGTCACCTAGCTGTGGGGCAGGAATGGGAGCAACTGCTTTCTCCACCTGATTGCTTGGCCCTCTCCAGCTGTCAGCACTGACAAGGATCCCTATCTGGACCCAAGGAAGCCATGCCCAGGTGTGGGCCTGCTGCTGCATCTGTCGCACCCCACACCTCCCTCTGACCGCATCATTCTCCCTCAATTTGAGTATTTACATTAGACATTTTCAGCAGTGTCACTTCCTTCAGTTACTCCCAACTTTGGGTCATGACATTGCGCGTGTCGCTCAATGTCGTGTTCACAATAAATGGTTTCGTCTCTAGATTCTAGAAATAGATGTTCAAACATACCATGAATTAGGCTGCACAGTTACCACATACTATGTATTTGACTGGTCATTTCTTCACTGAAGCTGACAAGTAAAGCAGGGTGTGAGCAGCAGTGGTCTGGACGATGTAAAATTTCTCTACTCAAATTACTTTTAAACAGCAATACTTCTTCAAACAGATCTGTTACTTAGCATGGTATGTACAAATAATAGTCAAGAATGAGGTATTTTTATGACATTTCACAGAAACCCTTCTCCCAAAAAGCAAGTTTACTCAGCATGTTAATAGATTTCTGATTCAGTAAATATAACTAAAGGAATCTTTTAGTGAACTCCAATGCTTGCACTAAAATAATCAAGGTAAAGGATACAAATGTAGCAAATTCTATTGAAAATATTACTCTTATGTTGGGTACCTCTGCTGCATTTACTGCAGTTTAGGAATACATACATACCAGACTGAAATATTGAATGATATTACAGGAATTAGCAGTAAAACGTGAACTGACAAAGTAAGGAATTGGGTTGAAACACAAGGTCATACCATAAGAACATTAGTTCACACCATTCTTGTAAGCACTGCATCCATGAAACTGGATAACACCTTTGTTTAAGAGTTTACCATGTCTAATTCCAAGTGCTCTTCCATGAAGACAAATGGTGTTTTCCATGGACCTCTCAGCATAAATAATACTCACTTTAACACGTGAAAAAGAAAATACATTTCCTTGCACACATACCTTTCTCCTGAAAATGCCAAACCAAGCACTCGAACTCCTTTACCCTGATTTTCTTCCATGAAGTCATCATCATCTTCTTCATTCTGCTGGTCAGGTCGATATGGCGCAACTTTCAGCCAGTTGTAAAGTTTGCGGCTACAACACTTAAAATGATAGCAGCAAGTTGTTATTAAAAGTAATTTTTAAACAAAGAAGATAACAAGACAAAAAAAAACACCTCAGGTCTTCACAAGACTGTAATTTGGTTAATTAACTAAACCCAGTTGACATTCAAGCAATTACATTTTTTCATGAAACATTTTCTTTTGGAAGTGCTGTGTGTGCATTTTTATAAATATAAAAGCAGCATCTAGTAAAACATCTGCAGCAAATTTTTCATTTTCCACTCCACTCCTTTTTATGCCTCTGGTGAAACTGAAAATTTATTAATAATCTAAACTGAAACATGGGTAGCCCTGAGACCCATTTAAAGACCTGTTGATTGTGGTCAAGCTCGTAGAATTATTGACTTTAATCAGTCTGATTTGGAATTCAAATTTGGAACTGTTCTAAAATTTTTATCATTCAGATCCCTTATCCTAAGCTACATGTAGTTTTCAAGCTTCACTTGTGTTTAAGCACTTTGATGCTCCTTCAACTTACCATCAGATCAACATACAGTTCCAACATCACATTCTAACTTGCACAAAATTTACTTTTGCGATGGCACGTGTAGGTGTTGTCAAACTAACCTTCAAATTAATAGCACTCTAAGTGCAGGACATTGGCAATAGTTGACAAACTGAATACTTCACAGTACTTTTGAAAACACATTTTGTCAGCAATGAATGCCAAGACAGATTTAAATTAGGTATTTTACAGTTTCGGTATTGCAGTACATTACAGTGGAAATGGAAGCCACTACATATCTTACATACAATGTTCCTATCGTTGAAGGGTCATCATCGAGAACAGAAACTATAATTTTCCTCACATACCTTGCAAAGATAGTCCCTTGTCTCAATTAGCAGCTTATTTTTCAGTTCCTTACCCATCTGGGGGTAGAGGAACTGGTTTAGTGCACGTTCAATTGCCATGCTGCGTTGTCTGTTCCACTCTTGCACTTGATGGCTGAATTCATCACGGTAATAAAATTGCTTGATTTCGTCAAAATAAGTCTGGTCATTTCCATAACTAAAAAATGAGAGATAAAACCATAACTCAGACTCATTATCTGGTAAGATATCCCTGTATACCAAAAATACGGAGAACAGTTTTTCTGCTTAAGCTTCAATAGTAAGAGAAATCTGGAGTAGAATACTCACTGTATTTATACTCTATTTTTGAAAGATAGACAGAGAACGACAGAATGTTTCTAGAATAGTTTACTAAAATCCTCACAACTTTACCAAAACCCCAGGGAGCACCTAAATTTTTAAAAATATATTGGAAGTGAACATTCTGGCAAGGCCAACATTTGCTGTCTATCACAAATAGCCTTGAGAATGTGGTAACGAGTCACCTTTTTAAATTATAGTAGGGATGGCATGTAGCTTGGACTGTAACCTGCAGATGATGGCATTCTTTTGTTTGATGCCCTCGACCCTCCCAATGGTAAAGGTAATGGATTTTTAAAAATCCTGTTGAGGGAAGCTTGTAGAGGTGCAGCTGTGCATCTTATAGACGGTACACAATACTACTACCACATTCTTGTGTAGGTGGTGTGAATGTTTAAAATGGTGGATGCGATGCAATCAAGCAGAACGTCACTGAAGCTGAACTCTTGCAGCAAGTGTGGCTTTTCATCACACTCTGACTAATGCCTTGTATGTGATAGACAGACTTTGGGGAGTCAGAAGGTAAACTACGTATTACAGAACTTCCAGCCATAACAGATAATAAAACTGATAAGTATTTGAGATAGTCAGATTTCTCTTTGCCAAAGTGGATATAATTCATCAGGGCTGTCGACAGGGCCCTCAACCGGGTCTGACCCATCTCTCGGACTTCCGCCCTCACCCTTTCTCTTGCCTCCCGCAACAGTGATAGGGTTCCCTTTGTCCTTACCTACCAACCCACCAGCATCCACATCCAGAAGATCATCAGATGCCATTGCCGCCATCTCCAGTGAGATGCCCCCACCAGACACATATTCCCCTCCCATCCCTTGTCAGCCTTCTGCAGGGAGCGTTCCCTCCAGCACACCCTCGTCCACTCTTCCTTCACCCCCAACAGTACCCCACAGCACCTTCCCTTGCAACCGAAGGTGCAACACTGGCCCATTTACCTCCTCCCTCTCCACTGTCCAAGGGCCTAAACATACCTTCCAAGTGAAGCAACACTTCACCTGCACTTCCCACAATCTAGTCTACTACATTTGCTGCTCACAACATGGTCTCCTCGACATTGGAGAAATGAAGCGTAGACCGGGTGACTGCTTTGCAGAACATCTACTTCTGCTCGCAAAAAAGACCCTGAGCTACCTGTTGTCTGCCACTTTGACACACAATCCTGTTCCCTGGCCAACATCTGTGTTTCTGGCTTGCTGCAGTGTTTCAGCAAAGCTCAGCGCAAGCTGGAAAAACAACACATCATTTTCCGCTTGGGGACCCTGCAGCCCTCCAGACTCAATATCAAGTTCAATAATTTTAGGGCCTAAACTCTCCCATGTCTACCCCCTACTCAACACACCAGGCCTTGTTATCACAGTGTGGAGCTGGAGGAACACTGAAGGGTCCCAACCCGAAACGTCAGCTTTCCTGCTCCTCTGATGCTGCCTGGCCTGCTGTGTTTCTCCAGCTCCACACTGTTATCTCAGACTCCAGCATTGGCAGTTCTTATTATCTCTTGTTATCACATAGCCTGCCATTACACACTAGCTATTGTTAGGCACTAACAGTCCCATTAACAACTATTCACCCTCCTAGCCAGATCATTATCAACTCCTTTGTCTATCCAACTGCTCGTCTCTCTCTTCAGGCTCTATCCTTTATCCTACTGTTTACTCCCTACCCCACTCCCTCCCTATTTTCTACATATAAATCGATGTTTTTCCAGCTACCACCATTTCTGAGGAAGGGTCACCTGACCTGGAACGTTTAACTCTGATTTTTCTTCATGGATGTTGCCAGACCTGCTGAACTTCCAGCAACTTTTGTTTTTCTCGTTAATTCATCAGGATCCTGGCATCATCCCATTTCCTTTCAGATTTCATCACTACCCAAGTCACTCTGCAATTGCACTGAGAATAAATCTTAATTAAATTACACCAGTTACAGCACTCCCATCTTCAATGCAGGGTGTTCCATTGCCCACAGTTTGCTGACTGAAAACTTACTACTTGTCAACATGCTCCCTACCAAACCTATTGCTACTATTCTTCCAGACAACATTTCAATAAGATTGAGCAAAAAAAATTAAGCAGCATTGCCCTTAAACACTCATTCAATCATTAACTTAAATTATTTACTGTCAATTTTTATTACATTAATCAATGTTTGTTTTTCCCCCTTTATGCTGTTCCAATCAGATGTTTGACCAGGTCGGTCAGTGGAAGCTTTGACCCTCAAAAATCCTGTGAGGTCCTGCCTGACAAGCTGAAGAGAAATACTGTTCAATAGTACAGAATTAAGTTGATACCCTAACAATGATTTCGGTCATTCATTTCTGCAACCCTGTTTATTTTATGCCACAGAATTTTGGGAAAGGGGAGAAAGAGGAGAAAATTCCATTATCCACAAGAATATCCACCACAAAATGACATCCTCGATCAAACCTTCAGACGCATATAACCAACCTAGACGAAAATTAAGTGCAAAGTACGTTCATCAACAGCAGTAATCTTCGGAAATATGTAATAAATACCTACACACAAACATTATCATCACTGTTTCAGCGATAAAACAGCTTTCACATCACAAACCCGGAGAACTTTAAATCTGCTGTTCTGATAACTCACCCCTCAACTCCTTTCATATCAATACAGATGTCAATTGTTAGTAAGCCATCATCCTCAGCAAGGCACATTTTGAGGAACTGATCATCCCTCAATTCCTTAACTGGCTTGTTCTTTACATATTTGAATGAATAAGCAAAATGGGCTTCATCAATATCCTGCAATGACAAAAATGGATCCAGTGTTAGAGTCTCATGATATTGTAAATTTTCATTTACAGAATTTCAGCTATAGATACACAATACCCCTCCAAACCTCGAAGGGAATAACATTTTTACTGTCCCTTTGTTAAGATTCTAGCTGATGGTAATACGGAACAAGACAGACCTCAAAGTAAAATCTGTCTTAGTAGACCCTCACATTCTTTTTTAAATGAAGGTCAATTACTGAAGATATTCACAGGAGTCTGCCAGTTTAACACCAAGAAAAATACAAACTATATTAAACTGGACAAAATAGATCAGAAAGATTTCAATACAGACATCAGAAAAGGATTCACATTCAGAATATTTCTTTTATTGCAGTAATATCCTCACAAACACCGAAGCCTTCAGTCAAGGATTATCACTATTTCCACATCAAGGTTCTTATTCACGCTGGTACAACTGCAATTTTATTTTCTTTCGGCAAATTCTGGGCATTCACTAGATGCTTTGTTCCCTCTGCTGCTAACTCTCCAGGACACCTAAGCAAACCACAAACTAAACTCACGGTTACTTTAACTTCAGAGCAAACACTGACTTTCCTAAACTCAGTTTTCAGTCATCTTCCTCTGGCACACACCTTCTGAGGCGGAAGGCAGCAATGAAATGGCTAAAAGTCTAGTTAGGGGATAGGTACTGTTCACTGCGGCTGGTAATGATGCTCTTGAAGGCCATGTTACCTGCCCGATGCCAAAGGATACCTCTACAGAATTGGAGGAATTATATAATCTTGTGTGTCAACTACATGCGATAAAGAGGTTAATTTATTTTGTACTTTCCAAAAGAGATTCCAAATCAGACTAAATGCATTGCTTTAACTATGGAAATAAACTCAGCTGCTCTTGCTCATACTTTAAGCTAATTCTGTTTCAATGCTTGATAACCTGACATAGCTGTGTAGGACAGCCATGAGTATATCCAATTATGATGGCAAAGTTACAATAAAAACTTGTTAATTGCATTAACTTCCTCAAGTTGTCATGGTGGAAATGAAGAGCAAAAAAAAATAAAAACACTTTTCTCCCTTTCTCAACTTCTAAAGTATACATGCATTTTGAGGTTTCACATGTTACCTTTTTGCCTTTTTTTGTGGGTTTAATATTAATCTTGGCTCTTTCTTGGAAGGTCTGTCGTACAACTTGCTTGACCAATGGTTCTCGGGCAATCTGCATGGCCACCATGTATCGCGACCCTTCCAGAACAGCCTCAGGTGTTGGAAATTGACTGGAAGATGCATAAAGATTATCAGACTGATGCAGGCAGCTAACTTCATATTTGTGGAAGTCACTTTCAATGTTCAGGGTTTTAATTTAGTGCAAACATTCATTTTTTCTCATGAAGGTTTTGAAATAGTATGTTAAACCCAAAAATACACTTGACATAGATTTAAGAGTCAAACATAATGCAAGTCCAAAAAATGTTATGATAAGAACTACATTCTAAAAGTTAATACAAACTTTAATCAGTATATGCATCAGTTTTACTGCTAACCTGCAGACATAATCTTTCGCGAGTTCCAGTGGCTCAGCAGGAAACTGTTCAGTTTCATGTCGCTGGTAACTGTCTCTCAGGTTCTCACCAAACTGTTCAGGGGTCAAACCAAATTTCTTTGCAAGACCATCTAGAAAACATGTGGTTAAAGTCAGCAGAGGTGTTTATAAGCCTTGCACACTATGTTCTGTTGACACAATCATTTCTGTCTTAAAATTCAATTTAGAATAATTGATATTATGGTGTTTTGAACAAGGAGTTATACCAAATGCAGTCTTTAGGTAATGCATAATTAGAATCCAGTAACAAATGGACTAGGATTTGCACTCTCCTCGAATGGCGTACTATTTTGCCCTGATTTATGATGTTTCCATCACACATCCAAGTTGATAACAATAATGTTTATATGGTACCTTCAAGCATTTTATTATATTAAAAGTGTGATTACAGCAGTACTATCAAACATATGATGACTCCAGACACTAAGGAGATATTGGGCCAATAACAATAGGTTTGGGCAATTGGTGGGCTTTGAGGGCCATCACAAAGGAACGAAGAGAGGTAAAGAGTTGGTGAGATTTAGGAAGGGAATTCCTCCATTACATATGAAAGTATGGCCTCCAACAGTGGAGCAATTAAAACTGGAGATGCACAAGAGATCAGTCATGGGCACAGCAGATCTAAGTATTGCAGGGTAGGTTACAGAAATAGAGTAGGCAAGGCCACAAAGGGATTTGAAAACAAAGACAAGAATTTTTAAAATATTAAGCATTTGTTCCAAGTTAATGAATGAGTTGGCACGAGCAGTAGAATTTTGGATGACTTTAACTTTACGGAGGGCGGAGGATGACAGTTTGGCCAGGAGTGCATTGGAACTGTCATTTGAAGGTGACAAATGCACAGGTGACAGTTTCAGCAGTGGCTGAAGTAGGAGCAGAATCAGGCAACGTTACAATGAGGTAAAAGACATTCTTGGTGCAAAACACAAAGGGAAAAATTGTTCTCCATATTGCCTAATAGTCTTAAGTCACTTAGGTTTGATTAAAACCAAGGTAATTGTATGGAATATTGAGGTAATAATTTAATATACATAATGAGATTACATCTAAAAGCTGTCAGAAGGATATTCTTATTTTGTGATCAAACGTTGCCCACAGATGCTGTCTAATAGGAGGATAGATTTTTTAAAAAGTAGCTTAGTTTATTAAAAGCAATCCTAAGCAAAAATGACTTAGTGACATGAAGCAAACACATTGTGATTCTCTACCTAGACCAGCAGTCTGGCAGATTGTATACATGTCTCTGCGAGAAGCCTGCTTAAGCTCTGGCCCACGATGTTCATCATCTTCAACCTCTTCATCCCTCTCTCCTGAAAAAGAGATGATAAATTGATAGTGAAGGTAATCGATCAAGTGCAAAAGTATGACAAGTCTCACAAAAACTGAAGTTTACTGTAAACAGAATAAAAAGATAGCAGCATATTATCATTTACGAATTTATTTGATTTTGGGAAAATACAATGTTATATATACTTAGACCTTGACTACTCTTTACCATTGGATTTGCAGTCAACTGGGACTTTATAGAAAATTCATACCAGCTTACATAGCTTTCCATGGTCTATCTAAAACCTATACTTCTGTCACTGCCTGCAATTTCATCTTAAAGGCAGTAACTGAATACTTAAGTTAATCAATTCGTTTTAGTACATAAAGTAAAATTTTTAGGGTTGAGAATGTTACAAAGCAGTTGAAATAGATGAGCAAGGAATAAACAGTCTAGTAATATGGAACAAAAAAAAAGAAATTGCTGGAAAAGCTTAGCGGGTCTGCCAGCATTCGTGAAGAGAAATCAGAATTAATGCTTTGGGTTGAGTAACCCTTCTAGGTGTTCATTCAAGCATACAACAGGAAATAGGATTTTGAAAACAAACTAATGGACCGAACAAGCATACAGAAACAAAAGGCTTAGTCAACTGGGAAAACGGCTGACAGAAAACCAAGAGAGATAGTAAGAACGGCCGATGTTGGAGTCAGAGATAACACAGTGTGGAGCTGGAAGAACACAACAGGCCAGGCAGCATCAGAGGAACAGCACCTGTGTTCTGTTTGCGACAAACGACAACACTTTCCAGTCGCAAACCACTTCAACTCGCCCTCCTATTCCCTGGGCGACATGTCCATCCTGGGCATCCTCCAGTGTCACAATGACGCCACTCCGAAACTGGAGGAGCAGCACCTCATATTCCGCCTTGGGAGCCTACAACCCAATGGTCTCAATGTGGACTTTACCAGTTTCAAAATCTCCCCACCCCCGGCCTCATCCCGTGACCAACCTTCCCTCTCATCCCCGCCTCCTTTACCTGACACAACCTGCCCGACTTCTCTCCCACCTAACTGACCACTGCCTACCTGCACTCACCTATCACCATCCCACCTAACTTTCCCAGCCCCAGCCCCACCCCTCCTCTCTGCTTATTTTCACAGCTTCCTTTCCCCTCCCCCATTTCTGAAGAAGGATCCCGACCTGAAAAGTCAACTTTCCTGCTCCCCTGATGCTGCCTGGCCTGCGGGGTTCCTCAAGCTCCATAATGTGTTGTGACAGAAAACCAAGGTCATGGAACAGTGTACTCACACAGCCCACCAACTTCCTCTGCAGAAAATGCCATAAAGACTTCCATGCCGGACATGGGCTCCTGAGACTCACTAAGTAATGCTGAGTAAAGTTGACTGCCACTATCAAGAATATAGTGTAAACCATTTCCAAACAAGGCAGAAGGATACCATCAAATCACTTCCATCACAATTTTGATCCTTCAATGTTGCCCTGCAACAGTGAAAGCCCATGCGCTATTATGAGATCACAAAAAGGAGATTCCCAAGGAGAACTTGGAAAATTATTTACTAAGCTCCTTGAAATTTACAACATATTTAATCTCAAATGCCAAAGCAAATTCATAATAGGGAAGTGAAAAGTGGTCTAATCTGCCCCATTAGAATCTAGAACCACATTCTGTAATTCCACTTTATTGTGATGCAGTCATTAGTATCCAAGAGTAGAAAGGAAGATACTACTAATGCAAATTAGTTTATCCCTGGAAGAAATTTTCAGCTCTAGCCTTGACCTCAACTGACTGAATAAAATCTCCTTAAAGATTTTAATATTCATAATTATTGTTAAACAAAGGTAATACATTACATAGCAACAGAAGGCCACTCAGTCCATCAACCTTGCCTACCACTCATTCTAGGGTTAACAACCTCCCTCATGTCACTTTGCCACACTATCACCATGTTCCTTGATGTTGTTACTCTGCAGAAGCCTACTGATTTGTCTTGAACTTGCTCAGTGATTAAGCCTCCACAGGGATACAGAATTCCAAAGGTTCACAATTCTGACTGAAGAAGTTCCTCCTCACTTCAAATTTAGACTCAAGTGGCCTGTCCCTTATCCTGAGATTATCTTCTCTGGTTCTAGAGTCACCAGCTAGGGGACCATGCTATTTCTAACCACGTTGTTAGGCACTATAAGCACATTTCAATAAGATCAACTCTTCAAAACTGAAGAAACTGGGTCTGTATTCTCTAATCTCCTAAAACAAATCTGCAATCGCAGGGATTAATTTGCTGAATCTCTTTTGCACTCCCTCCATATTAAGTATTTCCTTCCCTGATAAGGGGACCAAAATTATACACTTACCCTAGCTGAAATCTCACCAAGGTTTTATACAAATGCAGCAAGACATCATTATTTCTGTACTCAAATCCTCTTTAAAAATAAATACCAACATGCCATTTGCCTTTTCGCTTTCTTACTGCACCTGCATGCTGGCTTTTCATGATTTAGTCAAGGACAACCAGATCCCTTTGGATACCCACACTTCTCAACACTATAAAAACCTTTTTTTTTCTACAAAAGTGAATAACTTCACACCTATTCACATGATATTCTATTGGTCAAGACCTCTTGAATTTTTGTACACTGTCCTCTCATGTTACTTTCCCATGTAGGCTGGTGTTATCAGAAAATGTGGAAATATTTCAATTAGTCCCCACGTTTAAGTTATTTACATAGATTGCGAACAGTTGTAAGCCTACCACAGATCTTGGTGGTACCCTATTAGAACAGCCAGCCATCCTCAGAATGATCTATTTAATCTTACTCTCTGCTTTGTGCCTGTTCATCAATTCTCAATCCAAAGGAGTATATTCCCTCTAATTCCATGTACTCGGATTTTATTGACTAACCTGTGAGGGACCTCATCAAAAGTCTTCTTAGAGTTCAAATACAGCACATCCACTAGTTAACTTTTCGTCAATGCTAAAAGTAATATCTTCAAAAAACTCCAACAAGTTGTCAAAACATGATTTCCGTTCCATAAATCCAAGATGACTCTGCTCAATGTTGTCATTTTTTTCCCCTAAATGTTCTTTTATTACATCCTTTATAATAGATTCTAAGATATTCCCTGCTATGGGCATCAAGCTAACAGGTAGTTTTCCACTCTTGCCTCCTCCACTGTTCTGAAATAGTGGGATTACATTTGCTATATTCGAGTCAACATGAACTTTCCCACAATCTTTATAATTACCAAAGATAACCATCAATGCATCCATCATCCTCATCCTGCATTCTTCAACTCTCTGGGATGAATGTGGTCCCCAAGTAGGAAAATCCTATTTTTAGCAATGTTCCTCATCAAATGCTGTTCCACGTGCCAAAGCTTCAAGAAAATGATTAAATCTTCTACAACAAGGAAATTCTTTGTCAAACTGGTGACATACTAACCTTCCTCTTCATCTTCTCCACCCTGCTGGTTTTTTTTGTATTTCTTTTTCCTTGGCTTTGAGGCATTTTGCATTTTTGGAATATCACGACCATAATACAGCAGGAAATGATTATAGACATCTCGCAACTCATCGGTTGACTGTACGTCTTTCAATCTATACAAGTAGAAAGAATGAATATGAGATAAAAGCACGAAGCAAAATTTATAAAAACAAGTACAGAAGAAAGCAAAATTGTTTCAAACCTTTTGCATAAAAAAGGAGCCAAGATGTTTTTTAAAAAAATCAACACCAATGGAGCATCGGCATTTACAAAGAGAATGCTTCAAAGCAGAAATATGTGCAGAATTATTTAGACTACACTAATGGCACTTCCCTAAGCTGTAGTAACTGCATATCAAGGAAAATACATTGGCTTTGGGAAGGGGTACAGTGCAGATGCAAGAGTACACTGAAAAAGGGTCAAATTATTGGAACAGATTGTAAAAACAACCAAGTTATGTTACAAAAAGGTGTTAAGAAAACTTTCCGGGGGAAAAAAAACAAAAATCTGATTGGTAACGAAGAAAAATTATTTCCTCGGATGGTGGTAAATTTAGATCATGGGAATACATTTCTAATATTAGGGCTCTTGTGGTGAGTGGTGGTGCCCCTCCCTCTGAGGGAAAAGACCCAGTTTCAAGTCCCACCTACTCCAGAGATATGTAATAACGTTTCTGAACAGGGGTTGATTAGAAAGTATCTATAATTTTAATATGGATTGGGTTCTTGCGGTGATAGCATCCATAACTTTGAGCCAGGAGGTCAGGGTTCAAGTCCCACCCCGCTTCAAGAGGTGTATAAGAACATCTCCAACAGGTTGAATAGAAAATATCTGCAATTTTGATATTTGAAGCAGGCCATTCAGGAGGGACATCATTAAGCACTTTGACAAAGGATAGCAGAAATTTACAAGTCCTGAAAGCTGTAAAACAGCCAACATCTACAGACTTTTGGAGGAAGAGCATTCCACGCAATTCACTACATGTCAGACAGTGGGTCACAATGTGTGTCTCATCATTCTCCAATACATAATTTATTCAATACAATTAGTCTTCAGTCATTCAATTCTATGATTTCAAAATATATGCTGTTTTGCAAAAATCACAACCATCTTAATTAACAATCCCATGTTTTAATGATTAAATGAGGAAATAAAGAACCTTCATATTCATACATCACGCAGCAGAAGAGACCCTTCAGCCCACTGAGTCTAAACCAAAGGTTCTGTATTTAACTTCTCAGAAAAAATGATTTAGGACTCAACATTCCAGAGATAATATCAAGAAATTACCTTTCAATGTCTGCTGTGTCAAGTGCCCTAACTCCATCAGCCAGGGGTTTGTCTGGATCAGCAGAGATTTGTTCATATTGGTATGCTTGCATCTTCTGGAACAGTCGTGTAAGGTTTTCCTTTCGCGTTCTCAGCTGCGTCCACTGTAATAAAGAATTACAAACTGTGATTCAGGCAGAACTGTGCTATATTAGACCCACTAAAGCAGAGTATGAGAGGGAGCCAGATGACAAGTTGTTTTAAAATTAAAAGTTCTAAACTAAACTAGAATACACACTGCAGTTGAATCAACTACACATTGGCAATTTTTCACCATGAAATCTGCAGTTTCAAAAGAGCACAAATTGTGCAAATTATTGTGCCACTGTGAACAGAAGTTAACAGTGGTTTGCAACGGGGCAACAGTTTGAAATTGGGGTCCAGCTCAATGGAAATATAGAAACATTGAAAATAAGAGCAGAAGTAGACTATGCGGCCCTCCAAGCCTGCTTTGCCATTTAATGTGATCATGGTTGACCATCCGACTCTGTGCATTGTTCCTGTTTTCTCACCATATCCTTAGAAGGGATAGAATTCTTAGGGCTAACAGAATCAATCTAATACCTTTTTGAAAACATTCAATATTATGGCCTCAACTACTTTCTATGGTGGAGAATTCCACAGCGTCACCACTCTCTGGGTAAAGAAATTTCTCCTCATCTCAGTCCTTAATGGTCTACCCCACATCCTTAGACAGTGACCCGGGTTTCTAGGCTCCCTGGTCATCAGGAATATCCCACAGGAACTAAGTGTCCTGTAGTTCAAGATTCTCTCTTCTGCCTTTCCTTAAATAACAGTATTACATTGATTTCTTGAAGAGTTTGGAAGTCAACAATGTTGATTCTTCTTAATTAAACTGCTAGGAATTTATTCTATTTTAAACATCAACCCTTACCTTTTCATCCCATTGCCAGACCTTCCACAAGTCATTGATGTTCAGTTCTGGCTCTACATACTCCTTTCTGTAGAATGCAATGAAAGGCACCTATGAAAAGAAAGATACGTTAATAAAGTAGACAAAGAAAATGTACTTATTAAGAACAACTTCTTTCAAGAACTGTTTTAAGAAACATGTTAACAGATATTAACTAGTGTTACATCAATACTTTACATCTATCATCCCAAAGATGCAGCAACCTTCTTTAATGTTGTGATTTTTATGAATTCAATTTATATCAGTTTTCTTCTATGCTAGTCTTCAAAATAACAACATGTTACTTAGAAATACAGGAATTATCCTCAAAAACACTTGCACTTTTTACTGTGGCAACATTTCATATGTTTCACAAACTTCAACAGTGGGGAAGCTTCTCGAAGTAATTATTTGGGATATAATTAGTAGTCACACGGATTGATTAAAGACAACTAGCACGGGCTTCTAAAGAGGAAATAGTTTTCAACTAACTCAGTCTTTTTTGAAAAAGTAACAACAGAAAGGGCTGATGAGGGTAATGCTGTTAATGTGGTGTACATGGACTTCTGGAAGGTGTTCAATACAGGCCACACAACAGACTTGTGGGAAATGAAACAGCTCATGGAGCAAAAGGAACAGTAGCAATATGATTGCAAAATTTGACTAAGAGCAATGGTCAATGGCTACTCTCTTTGGGTTGCAGGAAGGTTTGTAGTGGAATTCCCCAAGGGTCTGTATTGGGACATTTGATTTTCCTGACATTCATTAATGACTCCGACCTTGGTTTGCAGAGGTCAATTTCAAATTTTACAGATGATCTGGAAGTTAGAAGCAGCCTGGAACCCTAGAAGGACTAGTTGTTGGGGTGGGTAGATAGGCAACAGATCAAGTTCAATGCCAACAAACATGAAGTGATACATTTTTGACAGACAATATAAAGTAAGGGGTACAATTCTAAGGGAGGTACGGGGCAGAGACATTTGGGTACATAATATCATAGATCACTGAATGTGGCAGGACAGGTGGAGAGAGCAGTTAAGAAGGCGTGCACCATCCTTGTCTTTATTAATAGTGGCTAGGATACAAAAGCAAGGAGGTACAAGATACTTGTTTGTCCTCAGCTGAAGTGCTGCATATAGTTTTGGGCAGCATGCTATAAAAGGATGTGAATGTTTTGGAGAGAACACAAAGGAGACATTTATTATAATGGTTCCAGGGATAAGAAGCTTCAGTTGTGAGGATCGATTGGAGAGTTTGGAACTATCCTCCTTGGACAGAAGGCCAAGAAGTTTTCAAAGTTGTGTGGGGTTTGGATAGCATAGGGAGAGAGAAACTCTTCCTACTCATTAAAGGAAGCACGAGAGGACACAGATTTAAAGTGATGTGCAAAAACAGCAAGTGAGATGTGAGAAAAAGTATGTTTTCACACAACGAGTGGTTTGGCTGGAGTGTACACTGCCTGGAAATATGGTGGAGGTAGGTTCAACTGATACATTCAGGAGGACATTGGATAATTATTGATTTACAAATAACATGGAAGGGTATTGAAAAAAGGCAGGAGAATACAGCTAAGTCACAGTGTGAATTTTTAGAGCTGGTGCATACATGATGGGCCAAATAGCCTGCATTTCTGCTGTAACATGTCCGCAATTTTGTGATCGAGCAAAATTGGACAGAGACAGACAAAGACAAAGTTTTGGTCAAAGAGACATTTTTAAATAGTAAATGGGAGCGGTTTAGGATGGGAATGTCACTGTGCAGTGCCTTGACAGCTGTAATAGTGAGATTTAGATCAGGTAAAATGTGCAGGTGTAGGAAGGAGACTCAAATGGTTGAGTTAGAAGAAATCTGATTGATGGATGAAATGAGCAAAAGATGGACAACACATTTAAGGTCCCGAGAAGAAAGGAAGATTGGATATGGCAGCCATCTGAAAATAGAGAGGATGGGTTTCTTGAGAACAGATGAAAGATCAGAAGGCAAAGGGAGGAGAGTTTCTGAACAGAGAGTGAGCTAGAAAGGAAATTTAGTTGGTTAGCAGTTTGGTGGGAACAAGGCCATCGCATGATGTGGGTTTCACATAGAAGATGAATTTGGAGACAGAGTGACGAGAGAAAGAAGAAAATTTAGAAAAAGCTGTGAGATGAGCACTATGATAGTGGTAACTAAAGAAGTTTGGATCAACAAACAAGGGAAAAGCAAATGGCAGAAGCTGCTGAACAGATTGAGTTCTATCTTTGTGGCAACAAAAATCAGTGAACTCGTTACTTGCTATTGATGGAGATTGTGAAGGAGGCACATGAAGGTGGCTACAGAAATTTGCAGTTGAGGAGAGAAAATGGAATATTAACCGTTGCATTCCAAAATGACCACTGAATAGCAAACAAATTTGGACAGTAGGAGATAATGAATTATATGGTCCAACTCGATCTGGTGATAAGCAATTAATGGTTAACACAGATGTTATAGCCTGCATCCAAGGAAGAGGACGTGAGGGTCTTAGCTGGAGGATTTCCAGGGTGAATGAGTGAGTAATGGTTTTCATGGAAAAATGGAGTTCCAAGGTGGAGGACAGGGTAAGATTGAACAGATAAGTCGCAGCAGAAATGCCATGATGAATGAACAGCCAAAGACTAGGAAATTGGTAATGTGTAAGTGCAGCTCCCATGTAGATATCAAAACACACATGCACATCTTTTTGAAATCTTCTACAGTGATGCTGTCTCAATGTTCACATAAATGTCCTTGTTACTGTAACAGCAATGCCTCTGCTGAGGACTCAAAGTTGATTACCATAGGAATACTTTTAAAAGTTTGTACACCCACCTTGGGAATGTAATGTTTTAGTGTGAAAATCAGCAGTTCCTATCCTCATTCAAAGGGGCCCATTGTTTCATGTCCAAACTCCTGACATGGTTGGTGTTACCTTGCTTCAGAGTTCAAATTTGCAAACCCATCTCCATGGTCCCAATACATTAGTGACATTTCACAATTCTATTGATCTGTAGTTTGGTTTACATTTGTAAGATGGAGCTATGAAATGCTTGCTGTTTTAGCTTAAATAATGCCATTAAAACTAGCAGCAAAATAGAAGTACCTCAAAATGCTGGTTCCTCATAAAATTGAGTGCTTCTTTTATCTTCTGGATAGTAGCAGGGCCTTTGCGGCTAAAGTTGCTGACACCCTGGCCACGTTCGAGATACTCTGAGCTTTCCTAGGATAGTAAACAGACGTTGTGTTGACAAGAGCTCCCTAAAACAAATGGCCATTTCATACACCTTTCAGCACAAGGGAAGTAAATTGTATATTATTTCAAAAGCAACACAGTGTAGAATTTGCTTAAAACATTGCATATTTTTAAGATCGAACAGTTCATCTTAAACTACAGCAATATAAGCTAATGCTTCATTAACTATCACATCAAAGAAACACTTCTGAATCATATTTATCATAAGGCTCCTTAACAGCAATGAATAAGTTATACAGAGCAACAAATTAATTCAAGTTATTGGAGCTCAGTGAAGGGGTTAGAGAAAGTGAGATACCAAACAGGATCCACTACTTTTAGGACTCATTCCAGCAAGATCACTGAATCACCATGTCTCTACTGGCTCCCTCAAAGAGCTATCCAATTAGTCCCAGTCAGCTGCTCTTACCCAATAGCCATGAACATCTCTTTCCTTTTGTACTCATCCATTTATTTAGTGATACAGTTATACTCTTCGGTCCAACTTACATGCGCCGACCAGACATTCCAATCTGACGTGGTCCCAAATCCCTCTAAGCCCTTCCTGTTCATATACCCATCCAGATGCCTTTTAAATGTTGTTATGATACCTGCCTCCAGCACTTCCTCTGGCAGCTTATTTCATGCACCATCCTCTGTGAAAAATTTACCCCTTAGATCCCTTTTAAGTCTTTCCTCTCTCACGTTAAACCTATGTCCTCTAATTTTGGATTCCCCACACTGGGCTATTCACCCTATCCATGCCCTTCATGAATTAATAAACCTCTATAAGGTCAGCCCTCAGCCTCTGATGCTCCAGGAAAAATAGGCCCTGCCTATTCAGCCTATTCCTGTGGCTCAAACGCTGTAGACCTCGCAAAACACTTGTAAACCTTTTCTGTACCCTCTCAAGTTTAAAAACATCCTCCCTACAGAAGGGTGACCAGAATTAGATGCAGTATTTCAAAAGTGGCCTCAGCATGACATCCCAACTCCTATACTTAATGTTTGACCAATGAAGGCAAATGGTTTTGTCACCATCCTGTCTACCGGTGACTCCACTTTCAAGGAACTATTCACCTGTACCCCTACTTTTCAGAAGTTATCATCAATCTGCCACTGCCACTAATCTTTCAGGTACTAGCTTTCAATTCATAGTATAATTGTGTTGTTACATTTGTGAAGAGGGTTTGCAAAAAAATGTCCGGAAGCATGACCTAATTTAGTACATGTCAGACAGCATGTGACTGCAAATGGAAGACTACTTGTTTGTAGTTTGGGTTTATGCCTTTCAATGTTTGTTGTGTGTCATTCTCTTGTTTTGGGATCAGAAACAAAAATAGAGCTTCTCTCCTGGAATGGAGTGTAGGGTATTTCGTGGAAAGCTCAGCTCACTCAGTGTAAAATTTTAGCTTGTAAAATTTCCAGAAGAGGGGTGTTTGGTTAGAAATCAGCTGATTATTAAAAGACTGAGAAAGTTTAAGCTTTCAGTTTTGTGACCGTTCATTAAAATGACTGTGCAGTTCATAGATCAGAACTAGGGAGCAGTTAAGTCAAACCTAAAGATTTGATCTGGAAGGATAATTTCTCTGGACTGCATTCGCTATAAAGTGGTGTTGAGGTATACCTGAAACCTTGATTTGCTGTACATTTTAAAATTTTCCAAACTCTGTTCTATATTTAGATAGCTTGGTTCTTTTTATGATCGTTTTCCTGTTGTGAAATAAATTTGTGTTTTATTCCTGCAGCCCTGTGATGCCTTTGTTTCAACGAACGATCACTTTAAATTAAAAAACTATCAAGCCAGACTTCATTCTGGGATCTGACTTGTCCAGTAGTAACATAAGCTGGGATCATATCAATTTTGATGCCAGCACTACAGTCCATTCATTGGGCATCATTTCAATTAGGTGCACTGAAGATTAATTTATGGAAGTATCGCTTAAGTATTCCACTGCAGGCCCATGATGAGACCTTCCTATCTTAGGTCTGTGAATTAACATTGTAAAGTCAGAAACCTAAAAAAAGCATCTTGCATTTTCTCATTGGTCACTCTGGAATCCTTTAGTTCGTTCCACTGAAATACTAGTATTTAGCTTGTATTTAACTTTGTGTTTTGAGTAGAGGTAGACCATCCTACAACCAGCCAAATCCTAAGTTATCCAAGCAACAATCTCAACAATAACACAAATATCCAAAAAAGTGCTAAATTCTCTCACTGCGTATGAACTATCATTTTCTAGCTACATTGTGACAGATTTAAAATAGTAGAAATATAATCTCAAATTTGGGAAATAGATCTGGAGTCTAACCTGCAAAGAAATGGTCGGCGTTGAAAAGCCGTTTCTATAAATCCAGTCAGCCTCTTCCTCTAGCTCGTCGTCTTCAGCAGGTTTGACCGGAATGCCACGAAGCTATTGAAAGAATTTAATCAAGTCAACTGAACAATTACTGTACTTGGTTGCATTAAGACTTTACAGCATTCTATTAACTATTAAGGTTAAACAGATCAAAATTGCCTTGGAATAAACCTCATGGACATGGTTAAAAAAAGAAACTGTTCTCATGCACAGGATACACTGGCAGGTTTGCATGTAACCCAACACTCGTTCCTGAAAGCTTCTGGTAAGCCTTTGCTTTGAAATAGAGCAGCCTTTACAGTGAAGTTGCTAAATAAAGAGCAGAAACAAGAGAATGCAGGTAGAATATCATTCCCCAAGTCAGAATAACCATGACCGGGAGGAAATCGAGGAGGCTCTGATTGCTGGTTTAATTCCACATTGCGATACCAGCTTGATGGGCAAATAAGAGGTGCTACTAAAATTACTTTATGGAGAGTTAAGCTGCTAGATTTACCCTTAATTTGTCCCAGTTAGCAGTGAAACTACCATACAACACAGTGTAGGATCAACAGGAAAGTGTGGAAGCATTAGAAAAGGTGCAGAGGAGATTTACCAGGACGTTGCCTGGAATGGAGGGAAGGTCTTATGAGGAAAGGTTGAGAGAGCTAGAGCTTTTCTCTTTAGAACAACGAAGGATGAGAGGTGACTTGATAGAGGTGTACAAACTGATCAGAGGTATAGATAGAGTGGACAGCCAGAGACTTTCTTCCTAGGGTGGAGGTAGCTATTATGAGGGGGCATAGTTTTAAAGGGAGTGGAGGTAGACATAGGGGACACGTCAGAGGTGGGTTCTTTCCTCAGAGTGGTAGGGGAGTGGAATGCATTGCCAGACAGGGTAGTGGAGTTGTTAGGGGGCATTTAAGCGGCTATTAGACAGGCATATGGATGATAGCATAAAGGTAGGGGTGGATAGACCTTAGGTTTAGGGTAAAAGTTCGGCACAACACCGTGGGCTGAAGGGCCTATTCTATGTTCTATGTAACTAATGGTAGAACTGACATTCTGTCTTAACAAGAACTGTGCAATCACTTTGTCAATGCTATCATGGACAGGTGTGTCGGCAACAATTAGATTTGTGCAAACAAGATCAAGTAGTTCCTTTCATTAGGTTTCTACCTTTGATTAGGTTTCTCACCACGGATGCAAGCCAGATTTGACAGCCTTAACTTTCTGGAGCCAGCCAACAGTGGTGCTTCTAGCCACTCTTGCTGGCAGTTATAAAAGATCATTACGTTTTTGCCTTTGCTTTCCCTAGAACAATGTAATTGGTGACCTCGAACACAGAGGAACACACTGATTTATCAGTTGAACAGCACATTAGGTGGTTAGCTTTGACCTTTCTTGTTCTGAAGCTCCCAGAACCACGCTCATTCAAAAGGGTATTCCAGTGCATCCACACATTTGGTGAATTGATCCCAGTTGCAGGAATGGATATGCTCAAGAACATAGATTGTATGCTGAAAGATACTATGTCCAGCTTGAACTTGTCAGATTGCATTTGACTTCTCTTCGATAGCTTTCCTGCCTGCCTCTTGATGTAAATGAAGGGAACTTCGCAAGGTTTACTGGGTGGTGATTGCTGAAATTTTATTAGGCAACTGGATGAAACTATCAGCAACTATTGAATGAAACAAAATTAGTAGTAAATAAATAGTCAAGTTTCAGTGGTGAAACATTTGCAACAGATTCCTAACCGAAAGAGCTAAGGAATTGAAACCCAACTGCATGTTGAGAATTGCAGGCATTTACTCAAATTCAATGCTTTTATCTGGAAACAGAACCAGGAAGAAAAACTGGCCGAGCATGAAAGGTTAAGTTTACTTACCAACTACTGATATATAATACTTAACAGGCTGTGGATTTATGAATTTACACGGATATCGATACAAAAAAACTGCAGATGTTTAATTCAAGATGACAAGGGAATTTGGTAAAACAGAAATAGCGAACCCAGTGGCTGATTAATAACTTAAAGGATTAAAGTCTTATGATGCACTTGCTTAGAATCAGGACAGAATAGCGTTGTAGCACTTGGCTTGCCACTGTTCTAACAGAGGTAAGTAAATACATTCAATGCTTAAACTGGATAAGCAAGTTTACAGTGCAACAGAGCAATTTAAACAGCTATTTTGTAAAAATCTAAACTAAAAACTTAATTTTTAAATGCTTGAATCCTCTGTCTTTTTGTTTAGTCAAACAATAATAGTAATGTATTTGCAATTCACTTCCCCCTCCACAGTCAAAGCAAATGAACCTGAACTGAAGTTCATCTGAGGTGATATTCAAATATGGAATGTATAAATTCAATTAAGAGTATTGGACCATGTGCTCACAGTGTAAACTGAGCACCAGCACATGATGCTGTGTTGTTCAGCTGTTTTATAAGAAATCAGCCAAAATAACAGACTTAAGCTGGTTAAAACAAAAGAGCTCTTTTCTGGGACCTTTTATACAATTCCGAAACAAGGCCAAATTAAAGCATATGGCCCACTTCCTTCAAAATGTGCACTAACCTGGAATCTTTCTGGCATATCTGTAACTCTGATTTCATTGTCCTGGTCCGTGAGGTGACTGCTTTCCAGCTCACTAGGCTCATAAATCTCAAAGATACTACGGCGGCTGACACGTTTTTTGGTGGTTTTTTTTGGACGAACTCTGGTTTCACCTTCTCCCAATTCTTCATCTTCAAACTCATATTCATCCTCAAGTTCCTCATCATACTCATTGTATTTTTCAAACTCGTCATAATCAAAATCTACTCCGAAGATCTCCTGAGCTTCTTGAAGAGCACTGCAATGAAAAGTAAAATTTCTATCTATATACAGTAGCTGGAATTCCATTGGGCAAAACAATCCAACCTTCACTAAGTTTGGAATTCAAGACTGAAATTACAAATTGTCATGCAACGAGGCTTAAAGATGATATATTGACATTATATGCCAACACACCAAAGTTCTTATAAATACTGATTATGAACAGATTATGTGGATTTTTTTTAATATTTAATTTGAAACTGCAGCAAGCACAATAAAGCTATAGGAAGGATTATAACACCAACTTTTTTTGTGCATTTTTCCATCAGAGTTGGTTACTAGGCATTGTAATAATAAATACAGAATGCTGCGTGGTTTGCAAAACATTATCTGTACAGGAGATTTACTTACGCATCTGTGTAACCTGGGAACTTCCTCTTCCATTTTGGTTTTTTGATTGGTTGTCCATCATCATCAACAATGAAGTCATCAATATCTGTTGTGAGTGGAAAATCAATTTGAAATTTCACAATTTTTGTTCCTGTAAAGTCGTATGCCAGATTTTGTTTCAGAAAAGTAACACCATTTTCTTTCATTGTTCAGTGTGTGGGTCCAGCTTTATGCCACACCACAAATAGGCAAAAACCGAAAATGCTCACAAGGTTTAAAGACGATGGAGAGATTATATGCCAAGAACAACTAAGTAGTAATTAAGAAAAGTGTAATAGTAACTTTTTTAGACCAATACAGAAGGGGGAGGAAATATAGGAATTGGGAATTGTGGAAGGGTTGGGTGCTGCAGTGGCTAAACTGTTACTGCAAAAACAAAAGTCATTTTCTTTTCCATCTGTTGGCTCAAAAAACTCAACTGCACAGAAATTATAGGCCAGGGACAGGCCATTTGACACCAACTGATCAATGTCAGTGTTTACGCTTCACGTGAAGCTCCATCTTACAGAAAGGTGATGGCTAGTAGTATTATAGCTAAACTATTAGTTCAAAAACTCAGCTAATGTTCTGGGGGCCTGCATTCAAATCCCGCCATGGCAGATGGTGGAATTTGAATTGAATTTAAAAAAACCTGGAATTAAGAATCTATTGATGACCATGAAATCACTAATGTCCTTCCGGGAAGGAAATCTGCCACCCTCACCTGGTCTGGTCTACATGCGACTCCAGACCCACAACAATGTGGTTGACTCTCAACTGTGCTCTGAAATAGCCGGCAAGTAATTCAGTTGTACCAATTGTTACAAAGTCTCAGAAATAAAAACAGGTGGATCACTCATCATCAACCTAAGCATTGGAAAAGAAAACGGCAGAATCAACCCAGCAGAGTCCTCCTCACTAACATCTGGGGACTAGTGCCACAATTGGGACAGCTATCTCACAGACCCTCAGACAGCAACTTCCAAGCCCACAACCGCTTCCGGCGAGAAGGACAAGGGCAGCAGATAAATGGGAACACCAACTATAAGGGTCCCCTCCAAGTCACTCACCATTCTAACTTGGAAATATATCACTATTTCCTCACTGTCACTGGGTCAAAATCCTGGAATTCCCTCCCTAATGGCATTGTGGGTCAACCTACAGCAGGTGGACTCAGCAGTTCAATAAGGCAGCTCACCAACACCTTTGCAAGGGCAACTAGGGACGGGCAATAAATGGTGGCCAGCCAGCGATGCCCACAAATGAATAAATGAAAATAAACTTAATTTCAGCCGCTTGATACATCCTCGCTGCATTTACACAACACAAACTTAAAACATATCTAAGTCAGCATCTGGTGACCGACACAGGAAATAGTACAACCTTCAAAGAGCTATCACTTAGCAGCTGTGTTAATTACTGATAAATACGTCACCCTCATTAACAGATAAGTATTAATATAAATGCCTAGCAGACTTGATCTTGAATTAATTTGTCATCCTAAAGACAATACTTTTAACATGGCGTCATTAATATGGCAGTGGGGAAGTCAGACTAGTTTGCATGCTGAAATCCCTGGAGTGACCTGAACACAGCCACTGGACTCCGAAGTTTAAAAAAACGCCAAGCCACAGCTAACAACTTTGCCCTTTGGAACAAAGTGTCTAAAATTGAACAAACAAGTTTGTTTTCTAAACCAAATGGAATTGGGATATTAAATTTATGCAATTCCTTTGGAGCTTTGGATGTCTTTTTCTGTAATAAAATGAGATACAGCATCTAAATTGCTGATAGTAACATCGAGTTTGCACAATTTTTGAGACAGACATTGAAAACATAACTCAGTTTTTTTGTGTTAATCATGAAGGTCTCAAAAAACAATTTCTTAATGCAGACAGGCATCATTTTTAATGTCTACACCCAATCATAATTGCTGAAGGTCCAACATACCCGATTCCTCTTCCTCTTCTTCCTCATCTTCCTCAGGAGCTACCACCGGTGCTTCAAGCTGCTCTCCCTCTTCACCTTCAAATTCTGGAAAAAGTTCATCAGCAATAGCCTCTTTCTCATGTCCTTTCTTCGCAGTTTCTTCTTCTTCATCATCTTCATCATCGGATACTTTCACACGCCGGAATTTTTTCTACAAAGTCGTAAATATCAATAACTAACTTTTGAAATTAAATATTGGTAGAACATTTTAATATTTTACAGTGGACTGAAACAGGTTGCAAAGTGATGTTTACCATCCTACTCAAAAACAAAACTAGGTCAATTTTTTTGGATTAAATAGCCAACATAACTACGCAAAACTTTTATTGCAGAAATTCCTACAGTTATAGAGAATTGCTACAAAAGCTTCATTTTTAAAATAACACATCAGATTCTGAATGATGTGTTTCACTGGGTTAGCTTTTAAATCAGCTATTTGCAGTGGAATATTTGAAATTGCCAAATTGAAATCTGCAGGTTAGACATTTCACACTGCACAACCACGATGCCCATTAGCTTGTATTTTACAATGAAGTGAGAACATTGTGCCTTAATTTTAGCATAGGTCCCTCTTATGCTCTGATTATTCAATAAAAAAAAAAGCTTCCTATTGGGGTGGTTAATTTTGTACAAAACCTTTAGTTTGGTTCAACCATATGTAGGAACTAACTGTGTTTTTCATCCACTCAGCCAGGTTGTGATACTGATGGGCATAATGAAATATGGTTCAGGGGAGGATTGCGAGAAGATTCCCAGCTAAAAATCTTTGCCTACACAGGATTAAAATGCAGGGTCATTTCAATATGCTTGTGTTGTTATTTCTGTACAATTATAATATATGCAAAGAAGGAAAACTTAATCTTTTAAAATGACAGTTTTAGAAAATGGCCCCAGGAGTCAATTGACTGCCCTAACTAATTCACTGTCTAGCCAGGAAAGACACAGACTAATGTGTCATCTCAGCAATCACAAAGAAAGTCATTTAGAATTTGATTAATTGTCGGGCAATTGATAAAGATAAAAATAAAACGGTGTGAAGATTCAAAATTTGTAAGGAAAAACAGGAGACAGGAAGGATAGGTAAGGAATTCCAACATAATTAACTTTGCTTTGAGGAACAATGATTCAAATTTAACAGAGTAGCCATCTGTATATAATCTGTACATACAGGTCTCAAGACACAATTTTAACATAATTATTAAAAAGAACTATGAGAAACACCATCAGAAAGACAGATTATTCAGAGAGAGCACAAAGATAAATTCAAAACAGCTAAAAGACTACTGTACTGAATCAGGTCACCGAGGGCTCCAACCTATAGTGCAGTGAAGGCAAAATAAAGGAGGCTTCACTCATTCCCAGAACCTGTTCCATTCAGTTCAGTTGTGGAAGAAAACTCCAAAATAGTCAACTACAAAGCCATCACAGATGCTGGATTCTAACTTCAAGCAGCTACCAGGACCACAATGATAAAGGACTGATCTTATTTTCATCATTGAAAGTATCTTTTATCCGTACCCACTTTTAGTTTCCGTATCTATATTTTAGCTAGTAATTATTATGGTTTATTTAATAATCTTGTACAACAGTTGTCTTATAAACCAACCTTCAACTTGTTTAAAACTAAACGTGGAGTCAGCCAGCTTCTTACAATTCATCTGGAGAAAGTATTATTGGTTAGTTAGTTTTAGGATTTTCACTCCATGATGAAGGAGGCTGATGGAGGTTTCAACTTTTGGAGGTGCATTTGAAAGAGTCTTTGATTGCCAATTTGCATTTGTGATGAAGGGAGTGAATGATCAAGGAGTAATCATTACCCATATTATGGGTAATATGCCACAACACACCAAGCCTCTGTCCTGCAGTTATACCCCGTGCTTATGCAGCCGGTCTAATAAGCTTCTGGTCAACGATGACTCTTCATAGGATAGTAATGGTGGGAGATTTATTGACGGTAATGTTGTTGAATATCAAAGGGAAGTGTTTAGATTTTCTTTTTTTGAGATGGTCATTTTGTGGTACATGCGTGGAGCAAATGTTACTTGTCACTTAGCATCCCATGCCTGCATGCTGTCTGGGTCCAACTGGATGTAGGCACAGACCAGCTCTTTATCTGAGAAGTTTTGGATAGAACTGAATACTCTGCAATCATCATGCATTCCCACGTCATGTGTGTTTCGGGAGGGTCATTACTGAAGCAGCTGAAAATTGCTGTCAAAAACACTGCCCTGGTGAACTCTGTCAATGATGACTTGCAGCTGAGATGGTATACCCGAAAAGCCACAAGCATTTTTTGATTGGTGCTGGTGTCAAGGTTGGTGCTAGGTCTCTGTTGTATTCTTATTCTTTTAGATTTTCACTGCAGTTTTGTACAAAACTGACTTCTTGGGAAATTTCAGAGACAAGAATCAACCACATTACTGGTGTGTCCAAATTACATACAGGTTAGACTGGCAAGAACACCAGTTTTCCTTCACTAAAATGACATTAGCCAATCAGATGGGTATGTAAAAACCATTAATTCATGGTTACCATTACTGGTACTAGCATTTTATTCCAGATTTTTGTTTTTTTAGAAGATTTAAAATTCTCCAGTCGTTCTGGTAGGAACTGAACCTGTTTCTCCAAATCATCAGTCCAGATCTCTAGTTTCCTAGTCCAGAAACAGTAGCACTATTCTACATTATGGAATTGGGAGCAAAGTTGTAACCCAAGAAAAATGCATCACTTCTCCACATCAAATTCCATTTGGCACTTGTCTATTCATTTCACCAGCCTATGCCCCCTTGATATCCATTACCAGCCCTGCTAACTTTAAGTTTCATATCATCTGTAAACTGAAATTATACTCTGCACAACCAAAGTCACGCACATCAAAAAGTGCTGTGGTTATTATAACAACCCTGTGGAACAAAACTCTATGCCTCTGTTCAGTCTTGATAAACAAACCATTCACCACTATTGTCTGATTTTGTCCTGCAGCCAATTTTTTTTTTGAAAAATCAACGCTGCCACTTCAATCCCATTCATCTGAATTTTGATACCTTTTCTAAAGCATGCGAAAATTCATGTACAATTTAACCCTCTCCTCCAAAGAACTGGGTAATTGAAGTCAATGTAATCTCCTTGACTAGCTTTTATCTACTGGAAATTGAAGAGGTATTTTCAATGTGAACTCTAAAATCTAAAAGGTCACAATGTAATTACAGACAGCTTTACTCTCAAGATTTCCACCTCACCTCCATTTTCTTTTATTTGCGTATGTTGACTGTTAGAGTACATGCACACGGATTGGTAAAGGATATCTAATCCTCAAGACATCACAACTATGAAGAACAGCCATGATATACAAGATGATATTTTCCTATCAATTTTCACATGCTAACATAATCATATATTTAATATAAATGAACAAGTTGCGTTTCAAAACATTTTCATTTTATTTTTGCTAGCATAAAATTCCAGAGTACAGGTTAATTTGTCAGAGGAAAGCAGCAGCACACAACTAGGTCGTTCAGCTCTAAGTTCAAATACACAAGGGCAGTGACCATTTTCTCCCATAATTCCATACAAAAGAAACTCAAAAGCATGACATGTTTTGTTGAAATCCTGAGATAAAAAGATGGCTAAACTTTCATTTGTTTTGAACATTTGATGTATTTAGTTTACTTACAATGTCACTATGTTAAAGCAGTTTTCTACTTTGGATAGATCAGAATTTTACTAATTTTTAATTAATTATTAAACTTTGAATCACCAAACAGTTAAACCAAAAGAATTATCTTTACCCTTTTGACTTTGACACCCAGGTTTTCCTCAATTAGGTCAAAATCATCATCTTCCAGCCTGTCATCATAAGCTGCACATAGTAAGAAAACAATTACTTACATCATATCATGGACATAGAAACAAAATCTTACTGAATTATAGTCACTAGAATATTATTTAAATATTGTTGGTTCAACAGAACACCCACAAATATCTATTTAAATTGTTTGACATCATTACTGCCACTCCCACAGTATATTAAGTTCCCAAATCCTAGGAATGTTGATTCTCTCCTCCTTCTATCGAGAGGCATATCAACCAGAATTTCCTAATGATAGGACAATATCTTCAGACATTTTCCAAAAGAGAACTTCCTTTTTAAAAAAAAATTAAAATACTCCAAATATGATATAAATTCGGCAAGTCAAGCAGATATGTTGCAAGTACTAGCAAGGAGGAAAAGTATTAACGTCTTAGCCTTGTGGGCTCTGAATATCTACTTAAGAAAAATAAGGTGATTTAAACACTGACCTTTACGCTTTCTTTTTTTTGTGATAGAGTCTGAACCTCCAGAACCTTCACTGGCTCCATCGTCGTCATCATCCTCCTCCTCCTCCTCTTCCTCCTCATCATCGTCATCATCATTAATGAAATCCTTCAAATTTCCCTGCTCATCCTGGTCATCTGCATTTTCATCCTCCTCTTCTTCCTCTTCTGTTGGCATGAACCCAAAAAGTTTAGATATAGAGTTCCTAACGCACCGACAATGCATTAAATCCAGTACTTCTGACATATTGAGCTCTTCTGCAAGTTTCACCACTATGCCTATTTTAGTTGCACAGGATACTTGGAGGACATTTCCTCCAGCATTCAAGATTCCTGCTCCACCAGATCTCACCCAGTCTTTTCACGAACAAATGCATTCATTGTCAGTTTCTCAGTTTTCTTCAGTTAAAATAGTTTCCCTTGAGCTTGCTACATTCCAGCCTCTCATATATAACACAATCATCATTAACAAACCCACTGATAAGAAGGGCTGTTGCTGTACGTCAGAAGCACCCTCCCATTCTGGAGGCTGAATAGCATTTTCTAGATCAACAGCAACCTCTCCTCTGGAGATCACCCACCCCCACTCCCCCCAAAAAAAAAACATGCTTATTGTAGTGTACAGCCCAGCTATTGTACTAGCTGAGATAGTAGGAACTGCAGATGCTGGAGAATCTGAGATAACATGGTGTAGAGCTGGATGAACACAGCAGGCCAAGCAGCATCACAGGAGCAGGAAGGCTGACGTTTCGGGCCTAGACCCTTCATCAGAAATGGGGGAGGGGAAGGGGGTTCTGAAATAAATAGGGAGAGAGGGGGAGGCAGAAAGAAGATGGATAGAGGAGATGATAGGTGGAGAGAAAACAGACAGATCAAAGAGGCGGGGTTGGAGCCAGTAAAGGTGAGTGTAGGTGAGGAGGTAGGGAGGAGATAGCTCAGTCCAGGGAAGACGGACAGGTCAAGGGGGCGGGATGAGGTTAGTAGGTAGGAAATGGGGGTGCAGGGTGAGGTGGGAAGAGGGGATAGGTGGGAGGAAGAACGGGTTAGGAAGGCGGGGATGAGCTGGGCTGGTTTTGGGATGCGGTAGGGGGAGGGGAGATTTTGAAGCTTGTGAAATCCACATTGATACCATTGGGCTGCAGGGTTCTCAAGCGGAATATGAGTTGCTGTTCCTGCAACCTTCGGGTGGCATCGTTGTGGCACTGCAGGAGGCCCAGGATGGGCATGTCGTCTGAGGAATGGGAGGGGGAGTTGAAATGGTTCGCGACTGGGAGGTGCAGTTGTTTATTGCGAACTGAACGTAGGTGTTCTGCAAAGCGGTCCCCAAGCCTCCGCTTGGTTTCCCCAATGTAGAGGAGGCCACAACGAGTACAGCAGATGCAGTATACCACGTTAGCAGATGTGCAGGTGAACATATGCTTGATGTGGAAAGTCTTCTTGGGGCCTGGGATGGGGGTGAGGGAGGAGGTGTGGGGACAGGTGTAGCACTTCCTGCGGTTTCAGGGGAAAGTGCCGGGTGTGGTGGGGCTGCAGGGGAGTGTGGAGCGGACAAGGGAGTCACGGAGAGAGTGGTCCCTCCGGAAAGCAGATAAGGGTGGGCAGGGAAAAATGTCTTTGGTGGTGGGGTCGGATTGCAGATGGCGGAAGTGCCGGAGGATGATGCGTTGGATCCGGAGGTTGGTGGGGTGATACGTGAGGACGAGGGGGGATTCTTTTTTGGTTGTTATTGCGGGGATGGGGTGTGAGGGATGAGTTGCGGGAAATGCGGGAGACATGGTGGAGGGCGTTCTCGACCATTGAGGGGGGGGGATGTTGCGGTCCTTGAAAAACGAGGACATCTGAGATGTACGGGAGTGGAATGCCTCATCCTGGGAGCAGATGCGGTGGAGGCAAAGGAATTGGGAATAGGGGGTGGCATTTTTGCAGGAAGGTGGGTGGGAGGAGGTGTATTCTAGGTAGCTGTGGGAGTCGGTGGGCTTGAAATGGATATCAGTTTCTCGGTGGTTGCCCGAGATGGAGACAGAGGTCCAGGAAGGTGAGAGAGGGGTTAGGGATGGTCCAGGTGAACTTAAAGTTGGGGTGGAAGGTGTTGGTGAAGTGGATGAACTGTTCGAGCTCCTCGTGGGAGCACGAGGCAGCGCCGATACAGTCATCAATGTAACGGAGGAAGAGGTGGCGTTTAGGGCCAGTGTAGGTACAGAAGAGGGATTATTCCACGTAACCTACAAAGAGGCAGGCATAGCTTGGGCCCATGCGGGTACCCATGGCCACCCCCTTTGTCTGTAGGAAGTGGGAGCAATTGAAAGAGAGGTTGTTGAGGGTGAGGACGAGTTTGGCTAAGTGGATGAGGGTGTCAGTGGAGGGGGACTGGTCGGGACTGCGGGACAGGAAGAAGCGGAGGGCCTTTAGGCCATCTGCATGGGGAATGCAGGTGTATAGGGACTGGACGTCCATGGTAAAGATGAGGTGTTGGGTATCGGGGAATTGGAAGTTCTGGAGGAGGTGGGGTGCGTGGGTGGTGTCACGGACGTAGGTAGGGAGTTCCTCAACAACTTCTCTTTCAATTGCTCCCACTTCCTACAGACAAAGGGGTTGGCCATGGGTACCCGCATGGGCCCAAGCTATGCCTGCCTCTTTGTAGGTTACGTGGAATAATCCCTCTTCTGTACCTACACTGGCCCTAAACGCCACCTCTTCCTCCGTTACATTGATGACTGTATCGGCGCTGCCTCGTGCTCCCACGAGGAGCTCGAACAGTTCATCCACTTCAACGCCTTCCACCCCAACTTTAAGTTCACCTGGACCATCTCTAACCCCTCTCTCACCTTCCTGGACCTCTGTCTCCATCTCGGGCAACCACCTAGAAACCGATATCCATTTCAAGCCCACCGACTCCCACAGCTACCTAGAATACACCTCCTCCCACCCACCTTCCTGCAAAAATGCCACCCCCTATTCCCAATTCCTTCGCCTCCACCGCATCTGCTCCCAGGATGAGGCATTCCACTCCCGTACATCTCAGATGTCCTCGTTTTTCAAGGACCGCAACTTCCCCCCATCAGTGGTCGAGAACGCCCTCCACCATGTCTCCCGCATTTCCCACAACTCATCCCTCACACCCCGTCCCCGCAATAACAACCAAAAAAGAATCCCCCTCATCCTCGCGTACCACCCCACCAACCTCCGGATCCAACGCATCATCCTCCGGCACTTCTGCCATCTGCAATCCGACCCCACCATCAAAGACATTTTTCCCTGCCCACTCTTATCTGCTTTCCGGAGGGACCACTCTCTCCGTGACTCCCTTGTCCGCTCCACACTTCCCTCCAGCCCCACCACACCCGGCACTTTTCCCTGCAACCGCAGGAAGTGCTACAGCTGCCCCCACACCTCCTTGGGGCCTGGGATGGGGGTGAGGGAGAAGACTTTCCACATCAAGCATATGTTCACCTGCACATCTGCTAACGTGGTATACTGCATCCGCTGTGGCCTCCTCTACATTGGGGAAACCAAGCGGAGGCTTGGGGACCGCTTCGCAGAACATCTATGCTTGGTTCGCAATAAACAACTGCACCTCCCAGTCGCGAACCATTTCAACTCCCCCTCCCATTCCTCAGCGACATGTCCATCCTGGGCCTCCTGCAGTGCCACAATGATGCCACCCGAAGGTTGCAGGAACAGCAACTCATATTCCGATTGGGAACTCTGCAGCCCAGTGGTATCAATGTGGATTTCACAAGCTTCAAAATCTCCCCTTCCCCTACCGCATCCCAAAACCAGCCCAGCTCGTCCCCGCCTCCCTAACCTGTTCTTCCTCCCACCTCAAGCCGCACCCCCACTTCCTACCTACTAACCTCATCCCGCTCCCTTGACCGGTCCGTCCTCCCTGGACTGACCTATCTCCCCACCTACACTCACCTTTACTGGCTCCATCCCTGCCTCTTTGACCTGTCTGTCTCCTCTCCACTTATCTTCTCCTCTATCCATCTTCTATCCGCCTCCCCCTCTCTCCCTATTTATTTCAGAACCCCCTTCCCCTCCCCCATTTCTGATGAAGGGTCTAGGCCCAAAACGTCAGCCTTCCTGCTCCTATGATGCTGCTTGGCCTGCTGTGTTCATCCAGCTCTACACCTTGTTATCTCTATTGTCCTACCTGATCCCTTTAAGATTGCTATGTGGCCAAGCATACCCAATAGTGAGCACAGTTACAAATTGCCCATTGGCTGGATTGTGCAGTGCATTGCTGACAGTTGCACAGCCACATGCCCGTGACGTTTTGAGGGATCATTGAATGTCCATTACCAAAAGAATTGCCTTGATAACATAAGCTGTGGCCAAACAGAGCATTAAAGATACATGTGCTGGATCCAGCTCATGGCAGGTGACGAGACCCAAATAAGGAAAAGATCTATTTTACTTCACCCTCACCAATCTAACCATCATAGATTCATCTATCTAGGACAGAACTGATAGGAACGACCTTCCCACTATACTTACAAAGCTGAAATTCAATCTTTGCACTGAGAATACCCTTCATTATATCGTGACACAACACCACACTAAATGGGATAAATTCAAAGCAGTTCTAGCAGCACAGGTAAGCATATCCTTCAATGTTCCATTAGCATTTAGTCAGGGTATCAACCCTGGTTCAACGAGGAAAAGAATTTCACAGAATCCCTACAGTGTGGAAACAGGCCCTTCGGCCCAACAAGTCCACACCGACCCACGGAGCATCCTACCCAGACCCATCCCCTTATAACCCACCTAATCTACACATCCCTGAACACTACAGGCAATTTAGCATGGCTAATCCACCTAACCTGCACATCTTTGGACTGAGGGGGGAAAATCGGAGCCTCCCGAGGAAACCCACGCAGACACGGGGAGAGTGTGCAAACTCCACACAGACAGTTGCCCGAGGTGGAATCGAACCTGGGTCCTTGGCGCTGTGAGGCAGCAGTACTAACCACTGAGCCACCCCAATACTTGGAGCAACACCAGACATACCTCAAAATACAGTCTCAAATGGTGAAGTTATAACATAGGACTAGATTCATGTTAAACAGCAGAAGCAGCATGCAATACTACAACCCAGACATAGTTCCTGCTATCTCAGATCAACTCTGCTGGGCTGCGACCAACCACAGCCAGTAGACAATTAAACAACTAATAGAAGAAACACCACTGTCCTCAATGAAGGAAAGATTCTCCATACTGTTATGAAAATGACAAACATGCAGTATTCGCAACCATTGTCATCTAGTCAAGAGGATGATTTATCTGGATCTCCAAAGATCCCTTGGTTATCGAAGCAGGTCTTCCGTCTAACCCAACTCACTCATGGGATTCAAGAAACAGGTAAGCACACTAGATGCAGCAAAGGCTATGAGCCCTTGACAATATTGCTGAAGACTTGGGATCCAGAACAAGTTGCAAAACTAACCAAATTGTTCCAGTCCAGCTACGACACCAACATCTCTCCACTGTGTCTTGGTAGGTTTTGCCCAAAAAACAAAAAAAAAAAGCAGGACAAATCTAATCAATTGCTGACCTGCTTGTTTACACTTGATTGAAGCGTTGAACAATTGGTTGTCAACAGGGTCATCAAGTGGCATTTGTCTACCACTTGCAAATAAGCTGCTCATTGGTGCTTTGTTTGGGCTCTTTGGGTCAATTTGGCACTTTTTTCATTTCAACTTTGGTCCAATTAAGGGCATAAGAGCTGAATTCAAGACAAAGCTAGAATGATTTCACTTGCCATCCAGGCAGTATTTGTAATGAAGTAGCTTTAATAGAATTGATGGCAATGGCAATCGAAGGAAAGCATCTTCAGTGGTTCAAGTCATAGCTCACATGATGGAAAAAGGATGTGGTTGCTGCAGACCAATCATCTCCCCAGAAGTTCCTCAGACAGCATCCTAGGTCAAATCATCTTCAGTTGCTTCATCAAATGGCCTTCCGTCCATCATAAAGTCAGGAGTGGAGATGTTCACTACCATGTGTGACACCTTGAGCAAAAAGTAATTCCTGCGGGCACACAGCTTCACGACTTTGAGGAGATCAGATGAGGTCATCTGCGAACCTCTTGATGGCTGAACAATCCGAATCAGACAAAATATTCACAAGGCCCTCAGTTGAAGTTGCTCCTTGTCAGAACTGTGGGGTGGGATGATCTATGTTGACATCAAGTTTGCAGGGCGATACACCAGATGTCTCATGGTAGTAAATTCTGCCTACAGATGGTGTGGATTACATTGATTGTCAACTGAGTGTATTTGTTGAGGGTTTTCGTGGCTCTTAACAGGATTCTTCAATTGGAACTTTCAGGGCTTACTGGCTTTTTAATACATCAAATAACATTACATCACGTTATATTCACTTGGAAGTACTGGTGTTCCTTCAATGCTGCTGGGTCAGAATTCTGGAACTCCGTCCTTAACAGGACTTCATCAATGGTTAAACCACATGAACTACCAGTTAATAAGAAGGTTCGGAGGAAGGGTCACCGGATCCGAAACGTTAACTCTGATTTTTTTTCTTCACAGATGCCGCCAGATCTGTTGAGCTTTTCCAGCAACCTCTGTTTTTGTTTCTGATTTACAGCATCCACAGTTCTTTTGGTTTTTATTTGGATATAACAGCTTCCATGGCACTTTCAAAATGGAGGAACAGAGCAATTCTTTTTTCTGCTTCTGGGCTAATAGATACTATTCAGCAGCAATTGGAGCAGCAATTAATTGGACTTGAAAATACTCTGACACAGATTCACCGAAATGACAAAGTTTAAAGTAAAACATTTGAATTCCAATGAGTTTACAAGGTTGAAAGGTGATACAATCAAAGCATTTATAATTACCAAGGAATTTGCTGTAGCAAACAGGGAAATTATTTCCTTCCATGGGACAAGAGGATGTAATTTTAAAATTAGAGCATCTTTTTGATATTGAAGATGGAAACCTGGACCATAGTTGCCCAAAAAGCTGTGGATTCTGGAACGGGAACTTTTCAAAACTTAGGGGGATTCATGCATTTTTAGAACAGCATCAGGAATATGAAACAAAACGTATCAACTGAGTTGAAGGTTATATCTGCATGATCTAACTGAAATGCTGGAATAGATTCAAGGGGCTGAAATAGCCAACTCTTCTGCTGCTCTGCCTGGATTTCAACAAAATCTGCTATACAAAAAAAACAAAATTTTTCTTTGTTGCCAAATCAACAAACAAGAATTTCAGAAAAACAGGCTGTGAAAAATGAATATTTTTGGCATGAACCTGTGAACTACTACAATTCTGCACATTGATATCATATGGCATTATCCAAAGCTGATACACACATATCACAAATAGAAAGGTAACGTTAATTGCAGTTACATTTCTATCCTCCACTGCATGAATAAAGCCAATCTGTGATTTCGGAAATTGGACTTCAGAACTGCTGTTTCTCAATGGCCAATCACATCAAGTATTATGACAAACTGCATTTAAACAAAATAAAAGGACTGAAGGTGCTGCAAATCAGAAACTAAAACAGAATGCCCCTCCTCAGCTCTGAGATTTTCCAGCAATTTCTGTTTCTGCATTTAAAATAACTCACGTTCCCATTCTAAGTACATTTAGAGAGAGTAAAAACTTCTAGCACTGTTGTTGCTAACATTTAAAAGTTTACTTTCAGTACATTTATCCGAATATTAGCTTAGGTCAAATAGAGTACTGGCGCCCCTGGGTTGCAAACAGGTTCCGCTCTGAATACAATTCTTAAATTAATTTAGACAAACTGAAACACAATGCAGGGCAATTATAAAGCAGCCATTCGTAAGTACAGGAAACATTCTTAACTCAGGTCTTTAAAATTACAGCCTTGTATGAGATCATGCTCAAAACCTAAGTCAGACATTCATAAATTGGGACCCCTGTACTATGATTCCTTAGGTCAAAGGACTGCATGCTTAAGCTATATATGAATTTTAGTCATTTTCAGAAGTCTGACTTTTGATTGTGATATTAAAGCAAGGTCACAAACTCTATCAACCTTTTCAGCAAGCACAGCCATCTTCAGAACACTATTTGAAGAGTATAAAGTTCAACAAACAAATTTTAATTACACATTTACTATTTGTAGACATTTATTTGCAAATTGGTTGACAGATAACTAGAAAACACTGGCATTTCAAAAATTAGTTTAGTGGTACTTTGAGATAGTCTGATGGTACATTGTGCCAGGTAAATAATTCTTTCTTAGACAACGTCTAACAAAGATCTGTGCACTCACAGTATATTACGCAAACTTAAAATCTTCTATACACAGAAAATAACAAAAATTACAAGTTCACCTGTCCCTCACATTATAGCTTCTAAAGACTGGTGAATGTTTTACAACAGAAAGCAAACATATAACATTCAGACATATGTCATAACATTGTTCCACATACCATCATCATCGTCCATGAATTTTTTAGATTTCTTCTGTACCACTGTTCCTTCTTCATTGTACTCTTCCTCAGATTCCTCAGCTTCACTTTCAAGAAAGTCAGACATGATCACAGGCCCTACACAACAGGAAGAAGAAATTTAAGTGAAACACTAAGTCTACAAGACACTTAAAGCAACATAACATGAAACACAAAGCCTTGATGATGTGGTTTGCCCAGATGAGAAACGAATGCCCATTTAAAACAGATGACAAAGATTAAATTATAAATTATTTTATTAAGATGCCAAAACTTTAATGTCTGGTGCAAAATTCATTAAGCTTACATTTTGTAAAGTTAGAAAGAAAATAGCATGGAACTGCTATGTGTACAAGAATGGACCTTTCTGAAATTTTAAAATAGTGTGTGTCAGTAGCAGAGAAGCACAAGGAAACTCTCACATATTAGCTAAAGTCTGAGCCTGTAGAGCACAGAAGGCCATCTGGGCTATCGACCCTTTACTGGCTCTTCAAACGAGCACCATTACCTAGAGCCAATGTCCTGATCTTTAGCCCAATATCTTTGCACATTATATATATGCAAATAATTGTCCTGCCCTGGATTGTAATTGTGATAAATCCATAGGTGGGGTGGAAATTGAGGAGACTGGGTTAGAGGCGGTCTAATATTTCTTTTGTCGGGGGTTTGGGGTGGGGAGAAGGGGTAATGGCAGGATTTGCGGCCTAGTGCGGGGCCTCCAGTACAAACCACCGCAGGGATTCGAACAAGACCAGATCGGCGCTCAGGAACAAACAACCCGCACTTTAAAAATAACATCAACAACAGAAATAGGAATCAGCACCTCGCCAAGGAGGAATATGACGGTGGACGGGCAAAGGGAAGAAAAAGGCCAGAAATCGTCCGAAAATCCCGAGAGAAACGAGAATCCAAACTGGCGGAGCGGAGCACTGCACGGAAATGCTTTAAAAATGGCCGCCCCTGTGCATCTACAAACGGCCCGACCGGCTCCTTCATCCCACCGCTCCCGGTTCCGGGAGATGGGGGAAAAAGGAGTGGTGAGCACATCCCACTCTTACTCCAAATTTTACGTATTGTAGCAGAATTTACAGACTAAAGTATGTGGAAAGGTAGGTTGTGAGAGAGAGATATAAAAAGTTTTCAGAGAGTGGGCAAAACGTTGGCAAATGGAGTATCATGTGGGAAAATGCAAAGTTATTCGTTTTAGAAGGTTTTAGAAGGGAGAACAGAAGAACGGGATATTATTTAAATGGCGAAAACTCGCAGAAAGCTGCAACACAAAGGGGCTTAGGGTATTTATGTACAAAAGACAGAAAGGTAGCATGGGGGGTGCAACGGGGAATCTGGAAGACTAATGAAATGTTGGCCCTTATATCAAGGGGGATGGAGTATAAGAGTAGAGAAGCTTTCCTGTAACTGTACGATGTGCTCGTAAGACCCTAACTGGAGTACTGAGAGTAGTTTTGGTCCCTTAATTTAAGGAAAGACATTATTTCATCAGAGGCAGTTTAGGGAAGATTCACTAGGATGATATTTGCTTTGGATGGATTATCTCAATGAGCAAAGATTAAACAGATTGGGCTGTACTCACTGGAGTTAAGAATGAGAGGTGATTTTATTTAAACATACATGGTTCTTAAAGAGCTTGACACAGTAAATGCTGAGAGGATGTTTCCCCTCATGCAAGAGCCTAGGACTACAGGGCATAGACTCAGAATAAAGGGGTACTAATTTAAGACTCAGATTTTCTTCTCTCAGAGGGTCGAGAGTCTTTGGAACACCTTGCCACGGAGAGCTGTGGGGACAGAGTCTTTGTGTATATTTAAGGCAGATATTATAGATTCTTGATCAGTAGGGAATCAAGGGTTACAGGGATAGGGCAGAAAAATGGGTGTGAAGAATATCATATCAGCCATGATCCTACTGAATGTCAGAACAGGTGCGAGGAGCTGAACGGCCTATTCCTGTTGTTATTGCTTATGATCTTATTCTTATTCCTCACTGTACACTTCCAGCCAGCAGAGCTCCTCCAGCACTTTCTAAAATATAGCACAAATTCTCCATTCAGCCCATTGTGTCGACTCCACCGTTTAACGAGACCATGACCGATCAGATAATCCTCAACTCCTCTTTTCTTTCTTACGCCTTGATTCCCTTACTGATTAAAAACTGTCTCAGCCTTGAGTACACTTAACCGCCCAGTCCCGACAGTCCTCTGCAGTAAAGAATTCCACAAGTCCATCACTCTATGAAAGATGAAATTCCTGTTCATCTCTGACCAAACTTGTCAACCCCCTTACTCTGAGAGATTGTGGTCTGGTCTTAGACTTTCCAACAATGAAAACAACCTCATTTGAGAAATCTATATATTTCTAAAGTCACCTCTCATTCTCCTAAATTATTCTATTTTTAATCTTGCTCATTATACCTCCATGTTCCATACAGCAGGTTTCTCCCCCAGACAAACAGAGCTCCATAGTTGTTCCCCTGAATATGTATAGGATATTTACTTCATGTTGACAGCTTTAACTACTTTTAAGGCAAAACCAGTAAAACCAGCAAAAAACACACACTGGTCCAGCATGTCTTGTATACTTCAAAATGGAGCTCCAATATGATCAGTATGTTCATTTTCAGGTATTATTGACTTTTAAACTGAATTTTCCCTCTGATTGGAACATAATTACTCATAATCACTCATAATCATGGAATTGTTACAGCACAAATGGAGGCCATTCACCCATTGTGTCTGTACCACCTCTCTGCAGACAAGTCACTTAGTGCCATTGTTCTCATAATCCACATTTTTGTTTTTCAGATAATAGTCTAATTACTGCCATCACCTCACTCTCGGGCAGTGCATTCCAATCCTTAGCCTGTCATTGCATTTAGAAGATTTTGCACTTGCCACTTCTGCTTCTTTTACAAATTGTCTCGGCCCGAAATGTCAGCCTTTCCGCTCCTATGATGCTGCTTGGCCTGCTGTGTTCATCCAGCTCTGCACCTTGTTGTCTTAAATCTGTACCATCTCATTCTCAATCCTTTAACAAGTGGGAACACTTTCTCCATATTTGTCTATCCAAACCCTCATGATTTTGAATATGTCAATCAAATGTTCTCACAAATGAGATGATACCCCACCACTGAAGTTAAACTGAGTGACCTTAACTTGATGCTTCTTTGTTGTGTGAGCGTGTAATGGTTGCAATTTTCTAGCCAAGTCTAAGGAAGACTAAAAAATTATGGCCCATGCCTTCACAATGTGCACTCTCACTTCTCTCAATATCCTTTGATGTATTGTCAGAAAAATAAATCAGCAGTGAATCAAACAATGAAACATGTTTTGTCCATAGGATGTCAGTGTCACTGCCATTTGTTGTCTATCCCTAACAGTATTTGAGGAGGACACTAGGATGAGGTCTAAGACAGGCAGGTCAATATTTTTGCTATTAAAGTGCTGATTGGAAGCAAATATTCAAACATAAATAAGATATAATAAAACAGACAAATAATATTACAAATGTATTAATTTATCAATTGTTTCAATAATGGACAGATTTGCATATAATGGAAAATGTATTTTTAACACACCAAAACAATAGAGTAATTTATGAAGAATCGATAGATACATGCGGATAAAATCAAAATTCTGTAATGTTGAAATAATCTTATGTTAAACATTTAATACATACAATTTTAATTACTGTAAAGTCCGTGATTCATTCGGAGTTCAACTATATGTAATGAAAAGGGGTTTTAATTTTATGGATAGCAGAGAAAAATTCAATTACCGTTTAATGTTTACTAAAGAAAAAGACCAAAAAAAAACAATGATTTGCACCTTGTAATCAGGCTACTTTGCTTTTTGCGGTCTACTGATTTATAAGTGACTGCCAGCAAGCAAACAGCTGAGCACCACATGCCAGATTCCAGCTGTTCTGTAACAGCTGGCTCCTTTCAAGCATTTAATCCTCCCCTTTGCTGGTGGCGCTGATTGAGCTGGTCCTCCCAGACTGCCGGTGGCGCTGATTGAGCTGGTCCTCCCAGTGG